TGGGCCTGCTTGTCCTCCTGTCCATTCTTCTCCTCCTTTCCTGCCCAAGCTCCTGCTTAGCAATTTCTGGCAGGATCAGCAGGACAGGGAATGGTATGGGGCGGGGGACTGGTGGGAGATTAGAGGAATGAGAAGCCAGGGCTTCCCCCACCTTACTAGGCTTGGGGAAGCTGGAGGAGCATGGGCCATCAAAGTAGCTTCTCTCTGCTGATCCTGCCAGCAGGCCAGTCTTTTTTCTGGCTTCCTCAGTAACTCCAACCCTGGGTATGGGAGCAATGTGTTTCCTCCCTTTAGCATTCTGGCCTAGGCATGCCAGTGGCTTTTTGCCCAGGCTAAGCTCTTGGTTAGTCTCAGCATTCCCTTTTAGGTCTCTTTTCTCCCATCGTCTGTTCACCCCCTAGATGTCCTTCTGTTTTACATCCTCAGGTGTTTTCTGTGTTTCCTTGTTAGATTCTGACTGATAGAGTTCAAACTAATAATAATAAAAATGTATTCTTTATATTCTTTTTTAAATTTGTTATACTTTTGATGTCCCAAATAGTATATTGAGGTAGAAAATGTGTTATAATTTGTTTGGCATAAGGAAATTGACATTTATTGAGTGGCCATCTTCAAATTTTCCAGTGAAGGCCGGTAGAATGGCTCAAGTGGCAAAGCACCTGCCCAGCAAGTGTGAGGCCCTGAGTTCAAACCCCAGTACCACCAAAAAAACAAGACAAAAAGAGCGAGATTTTCCAGTGAAAATTATAGAGGGAAAAAAATAAAGGCACAGAGAAGGTAAATAACTCCCTAGATCCCATACAAGGTTGGTGCTGAATCAAAATGAGAATTCTGCATATAAAAACTTAAATGTCCTACTGAGTATGATAGCTCACACCTGTAATTTCAGCATCCAGGAGGCAACGTAGGAGGACTGCAAGTTGCAGGCCAGTCTGGGCTTATGGTGAGACCCTATTTCAAAAAATCCAAACTAACTGACCAAACAAAAAAATCTTCAATGTGCCATTTGTCTCCTGGTTGAAGAGACCAGGAAATTTTTCAACTAAAAATTTGAACCACAGTAATTTTCTGTTTAACCTTCATATAGCCAGGATATCATCCCAGAATGAACCTAATTCCGGCCTAAACATTTGTATTAGGGTCACTCATAAGAGAATTTAGCACCTAGGCCATACTGTGGTGGAGAATTGCTTCTGGGGTGTCATGTTTACTCAGTTGTGGAAGGTTAATAATTTGTCAGTTTCCGCCTTAAAGGAGGAAAGACACAAGATGTCACAAAAGAGTGGAATGGGACAAAAGAAGAGAAGGGCAAAGGACAGCTGTTGCCAGGTTGCTGGCCTTCCACTCCCACTGCCTGCCATGGTGACGGTGAAGGGATGGTGTGGGACCTAGAGGTGAGGATAAGGTCATCCTTCCAGCTAGCTGAAAGGCATTACCTTGTCCTCATCTCATCCTTTGGCCACCTGACCTTGGTGGTGACCTAGACTCCTAGTGCTTCCTCATGAAATAGGAGAATCTGTGCATTACGTTTACAGGCCTACCTTTTGTGAGGAGCTTTCAAATAGGTAGCTCTCCTCAAGCCTGTGAACACGTGTAAGAACTGGAGTCCTGTGTGCAGGACTGGAAGAGAGTGATGATTTGGAACACAAAGAATGCAACTTACACATGTACAGGTACAATTGTAACTAAATGCAGGACTCATAGACTAGTGATTCAAAGGTATTCAGAATTCCTTCCTCTTTGAGAATAATAAAAATAATGGCATTGGGCCTGGAGGGGTGGCTCGTGGTAGAGCTCCTGCTTCGCAAGTGCTAAGCATCTACTCCAAACCCCAGTCCCACAAAAAGAAAAGAATAATAACAACAGCAGTAGCTAAAATTTCTTTAGGACATACTTTGCTTGCTTTTTTTTCTGATTATTTCAGTAATTTTTTTTGTGGTACTGGGGTTTGAACTCAGGGCCTTATGCTTGCTAGGCAAGGGCTCTACCATTTGAGCCACTTCACCAGCCAAGGGCTTACTTTGTACAAGGTACTGTTTGATCTTTCTTTCTCTCTCCATATATATAAAGTCATTCAATCCTCCACACTCCACGAGGATGAGTATGTTATACCCTGATCCTCCTATTTAAAAGTTTAATCCCCTCTCCCTGCACTGTTTTTCTCCATAGAAAAATATCACTGATAGCAACACTTCAGAATGATCTGGTCTAAGTTGTCATTAATGCTGAAGTAACGAGACCCTGCTCTAAATAGGTCCTCCTTTCCGAGTCTGTTGCACAGCCAGTGTTCGCTCATTTTCCTTTCTTTCTTTCCCCTGGGTGGACTTTCAGAAAAGAAAGGAAGGGAGGGAGGGAGGGAAGGAAGGAAAAAGGGGGGAGAGAGAAGGGATGGATAAATATCACTGATAAATATAACTTCTTATTCCTTTTGTTAGCATCCCATCCCATCTTCCCTTTCTGCCCCACCCATTGTGTAATCACCCTGAAACTGGGGAGTCAGTTCTGTTCATTTCTCTATCCCCCAGGGCAGTGAAATGGTGTGTAGTCTTTAAGGAAACTAAAGTTCTTTCAGCTTTTAAACTTTCAGCCTCTCCAGGGGAGTCAAACGACCTTTAGCACTTGGGTTTGGTGGTTCCTTTCCCCCTTCTAACTTATTTCCTGAACCTCTGTCTGGGTCCTTGAACTACCTAGTCTTTACCCAGGGGATATAAAGAATGACTCCTATTTTTTTTTTCCTGGTGCTGGGATTGAAGCTAGGCCCACTGAGCTTTATCCCCAGCTCTACAGAATCTCTCTCTCTCTCTCTCTGTCTCTCTGTCTCTCTGTCTCTCTCTCTCTCTCTCTCCCCCCACCACCTCTCTTCCTCCGTCCCTCCCTCCCTCTTTCCCACTGAGCTATATCCCCAGCCCTATAAAATCAGCCCTCTCCTTTCTCTATCTTGTGCGCAGCGCCCTCCCCCTCCCTTCCTCCTTCTCCATCTTTTTTTTTTTTTTTTTTTTTTTTTTGATTCAGACAGTCTTGCTATATTGCCCATGCTGGGTTGGAACTCACCACTCTCCTGCTTTAGCCTCCTGAGGAGGTGGGATTATAGGCGTGAGCCAGCATGCACAGCATGACTCCATCTTTTCTTGTGAGATATAGGCAAGACTTAACATTTTTCATTTTATAAGTTTTTCCTTTTTAGTTAGAGAAGCAAGGATGCTTAATGATACTGTAAGCTCGAGGGTTCAGTCCCACTTCCTCTTCTCTTTAATACCTGTAGTACCTAGGTGACAGAGAGGCCATCAGTTAAAACTTGGTCTAATATTGCCAAGTAAGCCTCTTGTCCAAGAGCTCTTCATGACAGTGACCTCTTTATCCACTTTGTGCATGCGGTACGTATCTTAATCTTCGTGATCTTTGTGGCTTCTAACAGGAAGTTTGATTCTGGAAGTGGTTAGGCAGAATGTGAATGGGGAGAGAAGGAAGGAAACAGTGATGGAAGAATTTCAAGCAGCCCTTGATGATTAAAAGAGTGTCTGTTAAGGGCAGTTGGAAGATGAAGAATTTAAATTTTATCATTTTACTATCAACAATCACATCCATACTTCCCATCATCATTTCACTTTACAAATTCCATTGATACACCCTATTCTTGGAAAGGAACAGCAGCAGCAGTCTTAATTTTTATGTTCAGGCAACACTGACTCTGGGACACAATAAGCTGCTTTCCCTTTCCTGTCATATAGACATGTAAGTGATAGTTTCTGTAGGTGGTTTTTCCTAAGGTTCTAGAACATCAGGAAATGGATTACAAATATCATTTCCTCCTTTCCGTCTGCTCTGCCTTCTCTTACATTTTTAAAAAGCAGGGAACACCTCAAATGTAGATTAAAGAGTGTAAGCAGTAAAACACCCCTGTACTTACTGGGCAGATTTAATAAATAAAAATATTTAGTTGTGTTTACCGTAAGGCTTTTTTTTTTTTTTTTTTGTAGAACTAGGTATTAAAAGAGTTGAAGTCTCCGTTTTACCTTCTAATCCCCTTCCTCCCTCTCCCTTCACAATTCTCAAGTTGCTGTGGATCCTTCTCCTCCCTGTTACCATAGAAAAGTAATTCATTAATGGATTTTAAACTTTTGAATTTCTGTAGGTGAAATAACTGATTTTACAGCTTCTTGGCCATGAACCGTACATTCAGGGCAAGGTCAGGGATTCAATGGATTGGGGTTTTCTTTCTTGTTCATTTTTTTTTTGGCAGGGGTGGGGGACTAGAGTTTGAACTCAGGACTTATGCTTCCGAGGCAGGCGCTCTTACCACTTGAGCCACTCCACCAGCCCTTTTTTGCACTGGGTATTTACAGATAGGGTCTCGTGAACTATTTGCTCGGGCTGGCTTCTAACACTGATCCTCCTGATCTCTGCCTCCGGAGTAGCTAGGATTACATTTGTGAGCCACCAATGCCCAGCGAGCTCCAATGGATTGTTTTCATTCTTGTCTTCTCATTCCTGGGCAACAGGAATTTGTGCATCTGAAGATGACGTTTAACGATGTACATTTTTGGTACTCTGATCTGTCAAGTGTGATTTTGTTAAATATAGCTTGCTAGAAATATTCCTTGTTCCTGTTCACCTTGTTTTCAACAAGTTTCTTTCTTTTTTTTCTTTTTTGCAGCAGTAGAGATTGAACCCAGGGCCTATTTACCACCTGTAATCAGATGGGGAGATACGAGAGGAAACAAAGGAAAATGATTTTATGTTTCTTAGGCTAAGTGATCATGTTGGATACTGACTGACATTATATGCCATAAAAATGCAAGGAAACTGTGTGTGCATTGTGTAAGGACAGGACAAGTGTCTCTTAGTTTAATAGTCTATAATTTTGATGCACTATAATCTGTTCTGTGGTTAGCAGCATGAAGAGTTTAATATTGTGTTTATGGTTCGTTTAGCTATGAGGATAGTGCTAAAGGAGAAAACCTAACAATGACTGTGTTGTTTTGTCAAAATATGCTCTCCAGCTCCAGAGCTTCCTATTTTGGAGAGGCAGAACTGGCTGATTCATCTGCACTATATCCGGAAGGATTATGAAGCCTGTAAGGTGAGAGATTGCACTGAGAGAGAAAATGAGAGGCAGAAGGTTGATTAGGTAACCAAGTGTTTCAGCAGACTGTGGCAGTTGATATCCTGCTAATAATATGGGAGTTAGTCTTTGCCCACGCTTTGTGTAGTGGTTAGTTTGTGCTGTGATGGAGCTGCTTCAGGGATTCCTGACAGGCAGTCATTTATTAATTGCTCACAGGCCTCCAGATTGGCTGTGGGTTGGCTGCTGGCTTTGGGTTAGGGGCTGAGGAATATTCCATGTGTCTCTCATGTCAAGACCAAGCTGAAAGGACGGTCACTCTGGGATTTGTTGGTTTCGTGGCGGAGGCAGATTTTCACCTCAGGCTATTATTTATTTTGTTTTGGTGGTACCAGGGTTTGAACTCAGGACTTCATGCTTGCCAGGCAGGCTCTCTTATTGCTTGAGCCACTCTGCAGGCCCCTATATTTTTTTAAAACCTTTGCATAGGTGAGAAATGGTTGAGGTTTATTTATAATTTGTAGTGGTGAGGTTGACTGTGTATATTTATAAAGCATTTATATTTTCTTTTCTCTATTTGTATCATTAGAAACATACCATGTATTTTGCATCCCATGTATTTTGCTGGCAGATGGTAGAACATTAACACGGTGTTTGTTTTTAGCATTCAGAGCTTTGTATCGTGGGCTGGGGGTGTGCCTCAAGTGGTAGAGCACCTGGATAGCAAGCACTAAACCCTGGGTTCAAACCCCACCACAGCTTTGTAATGCTTCCAAGGCTGAGGGTTTTACATTATTATACCTGTGGCGTTTACACCCTGGCTCTGCATAGAGCTAACAACATTTAGTACCAGCATGAGTCTTGAAAGGCTCCCTTGGTTTTTTTTTTCTGTGATATTACCCTTTTTGTTCCCTTTGCTTCCCCACCCCCCCAGGGCCTCACACCTGCTAGGCAGATGCTCTACCAGTTAAGCTACTCCTCCAGCCCTTTTTTCCCCCCTCTTTGACTACTACTCAGTTTCCTTGTTTGGCTTCTCTTCCTCTTCTTGCCCCCACCCCAGTTTGGTTTTGCTATGTAGCCTTGGCTGGTCTTGAACTCATGATCCTCCTGCCTCAGACTCCCAAGTGCTGGGATTTGAGGCATGTGCCATCATGTCAGATTTTCTTTATTTCTTAAGAGCTGGGGATATTCTTAGGTCCTGTCCTTGACCCCTTTCTCTATTCATTTCATATACTTCCTCCTGGTGTCCAGACCCATCTGGAGATGCCTCACATGCATTTCAAATCCAGCTTTTCTGTAGCTCATCCTGTCTCTTCACCTCCAAACCTATTCCTTCTTCTGTTTCCTGTTTCAGAGATGAGTAACATCTTTCACCCATTGTGAATGTGTCCATTTCTTAATTAGGTAATCACTAAGTTCTAGAGCTCCTTCTCAACATCTTTTGAATTTGTCTGCTTTTACCCTTCTTCCTGCCTTAATCACCATTCTTTTAACTTAAAGAATGAACTCTACCATAAGAGTTCATGTACCACCCTTGCCTTTAACCTTGTCTCCTTTTATTCTGCTTCCAACAATGCTCCAAAAGTGATTTTTCTGTATAACAAATAGGATTGGATTCCTTCTTTCTTAAACTTGTCAAGATTTTTCCAGTTGCACTCAAACTTTTTGGCATGACATCTGAAACCCTCTCTCTTTGACTCTTGGCTATCCCAGCTTCTCTTCCGTCTCTTGCCAACACAGAGTTTCATATTGTTCTTGCCGAAAGGCTTCCCTAGTTCTTCAAGTTAGAATCAGATGCTGTTTTCTGAGTTCCTGTAGTGTCCTGGGTTCAGACTATCACTTATAAAGATACAGCCCAGGTTTTGCTCATCAGAGAACCCCTATATCTATAATGGTACCGAAAAATCTCTTATTTCTTCTACTGTGCTAGTTAAGATTTTAGACAGAGTTGACAATTTTTCTGTTATGGGACACCTAGTAAATATTTAACTTCACAGGCCACATGTAATCTTTATTTCATATTCATCACCGCCTGATTTTTTATGACTTTTAAAAATATAAAAACCAAACTTGGCTTGAGTGCTGTTAAAAAAAAAAAATGGCCTTGAGCCCTGTAGTTTGCCAGCCCCCTTTTAAGATAAGGAGCCACAGCAAGAGTTGACATATAAAAGACATTCTGAATGAATGGCCTCATTAGTCATTGTTACTGCCTAGGTTTCTCACAGGTGCCTCCTGCACTTATTCACTACTCAGAGGTATTTTTCTTCCTCTTTCAGGCTGTTATCAAAGAACAGCTTCAGGAGACTCAGGGGTTGTGTGAATATGCTCTCTATGTCCAAGGTAAGACATGTATTTCTTCTCTTCTTACTAGAGAATATACTTGACCTGGGTTTTCCAGGAACAACTTATGAAATACTTAAGCCCAAGTAAATGCTCCACAAAGGTCATATTTAGCAGTTTTTGAAATCTGAACATAATTCTGATACTACATTTGGTTTCAGAAATGACTAGTTCTGTTAAAAAGTTGCTCTTGTCACTTACTCCCTTTCAGTTTCTGGCCAGTGTTTTTCATAACTGATGCTTAGGATCCCTATCTTGTGCAGTGATTTCAGCACCAGGAATACTTTCAGTTCCTTGTGGCCAAGCCACAAGATGAGGAAAGGGTTGAAGAATTTGTAAGTGGAGGTAGGAGGGAGAAGCAACATAGAGATATACATGGTAAAGCAGAGTACAGGAGCCACTGGCTTAAGTTTTACTCTTTAATGTTCAAAGTAGCAAGCATCCTTAATTTTTTCAGAAAGTCCCTTTTTGACTCTGGTATAAATGAATGGTTTATTTACCATTCATTGCCTTTATAATCTTGAGGCCAATATATCATGTCTGACATAAGTGGTAAGATACTGACATATTTAGGACATCATGGCAAAAAAAATGCTGTTTTATTCCCAATATCCCAAATTCCGGACTTTCAGTGCCTGATAAATTCTTCTGAAAACTTAGACCGAGGAAAAAATGATTCATTCTGATTGATCACTGAAAACTAAAGTGTTCTTTGCCAGAATCTCCTTGTTGGACTTGAGGCAGTGATTCCACGTGCCCCACTGGGGGCTTCTTTCTGTAAACTAACAGGTGGAAATGTGAGTTATAATAAATAAAGCATTTGAAAGGGAAGCCCAAAGTTCTCTTGTTGTGAAGTTTTATAATAATTTAAAAATAGTTGGGCATAGTGCTTTATTCCTGTAATTCCAACTATGCAGGAAACAGAGATCAGGAGGTTTACAGTTTGAGGCCAGCCTGGGCAAACGTTATCAAGACCCCATCTCAATCAGTAAGCCAGGTATGGTGGCACATGTCTGTGATCCCAGCGACATAGGTAGAAGTATCACAATCTGGGCTGGCCTTGGCCAAAAAGAACCATGACACCCAGCCAGCCATAGTAGGTCACACCTGTAATCCCAGCTTCTTGGGAGGTAGAGATCAGGAGGATTTGTAGTTAGAGGCAAAACCTGGTTAAAAGAAAAAAAGAATTAGTTAGAAGCTACCTTAATCAATAAGTCAGGCATAGTGGTACACACCTGTGATCCCAGCCACCGCTGAGACTGTAGGTAGAAGGATCACAATTCAAGCCCAGGCAAAGACCCTATTTAAAAAAATTACTACAAGCTAGGAGCTGTAATCCTAGCTCTCAGGAGGCAGAGATCAGGAGGATCATAGTTCAGAGCCAGGCCAGGCAAATAGTTTGTGAGACCCTATCTCAAAAACTACCCAACCAAGAAAAAAGAGCTGGCAGAGTGGTTCAAGTGGCTATTTTGTTTTGTTTGGGAGGACTAGGGTTTGAACTCAGGGCTACATGCTTGCAAAGCAGATGTTCTCCTGTTTTAGCCATACCTCCAGTCCATTTTGCTCTGGTTATTTTGGAGATGGGGAGTCTCGAGAACTGTTTGGCTGACTTCGGTCCTTCTGACCTCAGCCCCCAAGTAACTACAATTACAGGTGTGAGCTACCGGTGCCTGACTTTGAGTTGTCTTGTTAAAAGAAGGTTTAGCTTATCGACAACTTTGTTTTTACCCATCTGAAGTGATACCTGGTTGCATTAAAGATACAGGTGACCGAAGGATTTCTTTGATGTGGTTTCACACTCCCTCTTCCCTGTTTTTCTGATGCTGGGCTCTTCTTCCTGGACTATGCTTTTATTTTCTATATTTTCTATTTCTTGACAGCATTGATATTTCGCCTGGAAGGAAATATCCAAGAATCCTTAGAACTCTTCCAGAAGTGTGCTATTCTCAGCCCTCAGTGTGTTGATAATCTCAAGCAGGTGGCCAGATCTTTGTGAGTATTGGTAGCCTGGAGGCCCTACGACAGTTACAGAGAACAGTGTAAAGTGCATTCTAGGCAGAACCTGCTGCTGGCAGCCCACAGGAGGAACCTGGCTTGATGGGTATATGATTCATTGTGAAGAATGAGGATTCACCTTGAAATTTGAGATGATATAACCTAGTATTGAGGAGCTAAAACTACTTCAAATGCTGCACATTCTGTTTTGATCAAAGAACCCTGATATGTTTGTCACACAGACAGTGTCGTCTTGTGCCTTAAGTCCTCTAATTACATTGGTAATCCATAGCATTCTCCTCACCTTCTATTCCAGTACTTACAGTACCTGGCACACAGTAAGTCTGTAGTAAATATTGTTGACTGAGTGCCCTGCAGGCTTCTCTGTGGAAGCAAGCTACAGGGTCTCTTGCTATCAGGTACACTACCTTCCCGGAGTTGTGCAGAGCCACACCGAGTTCCCATCTGCACTGTCTTCCCTATGTTGTTGTACAGATCTGTGTTGTTTTCCCATTTCTGTCCAAAGTCATGATTCAATATCAAGGAAAGAAACTCAAACTTGGGAGGAAGGGCTATGTTCCTAATGGATGACGTTGATAAGTGATGGCAGCCATTGCTTCATGGTGAATCGTTTGTTTTATTTCTTGTTTGATCTATATTTGTAGTACATTGTAGAAAAGGTTACAGAAGACTTCCACTAAAATTGGTATATAATGAAACGATGGCCTTGGAGCAGCTTCCAGTGCAATCCCAGGATGAGAGCCTCTGTTACGAGAGTGCAGCTGCCTCCCAGCCTCCCCACAACAATCAGCTCAAGAAAAATAATAAAAGCTTCTAGAGGTTTAGCTCTCTGAAATATGAGTGAAATGTGGGGCTAGTAGAGTTTCTCTTGTAAGAACTTGGAAGGGGGTAATTGTGGAAAACATGTCTTTCACAGATTTCTCTTGGGAAAACATAAAGCTGCCACTGAAGTCTATAATGAAGCTGCTAAACTTAACCAGAAAGATTGGGTAAGTAAGGAACTTTCGGTGGCACTGGGATTTGAACTTAGGGCCTCATGCTTGTTAAGCAGGTACTCTACCAGGCGCTTTGAGCTACACCCAAAACCAAAGTCACGGACTTTCAGTGCTTTCTATTAGTAATCATGTTAATGGTTCCATTTATCAAATGGACTGCCTTAAGATATTAATAGAATTCTTACATGCCCAAATGTCTTTATTTTATTCTCACACTTTATCACTGATTTGGTTCAGTGTAGGATCAAAAATCGTTTCCTCATGACTTTGCAAATCATGGCTTTCCCGTCTGAGTCTTGTTCATTACCCTGCTTTGTCTGCAGAAGCTGTGGGGATTTTCTGTTTGTCATTGGAGTTCCAGAATATCAGGAGTAGTTGTCTAAACTGTGGTTTGTTTCCTTGTTTTTCCCCATCTGCCCTTTCACTCTGAAAACCCTTGCCTTTCTTTGGGTCAGGAAAGTTTTCTTTGAGTAGTTATCTGATTACTTTTCCCCCTCCATTGTCTCTTTTTATAAAACTAGTGTTTATTATATACTTTGATCACAGTCACCCTCCCCCATTACCCTCTCTTTCCATTCTCTCTTTATATCAGTTGGCATATGTGTAACCAAACAGAAAACTGTACTAAACATTAGCCTTACAAATTAGGGGTTCATGAAACAAAAAGTCCAGGTAAGCTGTCGCTGCATTGATTTGGTGGTGCTGGAGTGTCAGGACTGAGACTTTATCCTCATGGTTACATGATGAAGATGCAGCTGTAGCATCACATCTGCATTCTTAGGAAAGGAGAAAGAGGAAGCAACAAAGAGCAAGTGTAGATACATCCTGTATTAGGAAACACAGCTTTGCTGGACACTCCCAACAGAGGTCCACTCACGTCATGCCAGCTCCTTGCTCTGAAAGGAAGGCTGAAAAAGTTGTTTTTAATCTGGACACATTGCTACTCAGAACAAAAGTAAAGTGCTGCTAGTCAGGAAAAAAGAGGAGAGTGGGTGTTAGGTGGATAACTAACAGTGTCCGCCTCTGTTTTCTGCTTTCTCACAGATATAATAGAGAGCTTTGGACATGTTCTCCACATCTGTCAACTTGCTTCTTATTCTCTCCTTCCTTGTTTTATTCTGTGTTTAGGGAACGTTTCCTGTTTTATCATCCAGATCATAATTTTTGTTTTTAGCTGTTTGTTTTTTGTTACTTAGCCTACCCCATTTTTATATCAGTAATTGTGTTGTAGTTTCTAAGATTTTGTCTTTTCTTGTAATACTTCTCCAGTATCTCTTCTTGAAGCTTGAAGTTCTTTTCTGCTTCCCAGAATTATCTTTCTTTTCGTCTTCCTTTCAGTTCTTCTTTTTTTTTTTTTTCCCAGTACTGGGGTTTGAACTCAGGGCCTTCACCTTGAGCCACTCCACCAGCCTCTTTTTGTAATGGTTATTTTTGAGATAGGGTCTCATGAACTATTTGCCCGGGCTGGCTTTGAACTTTGGTCCTCCTGATCTCTGCCTTCTGAGTAGCTAGGATCATAAGTGTGAGCCACCAGCACCTGGCTACCTGCCATTATCTTATTTAATGACTTTTGAAACAGTCCTGTAAAGTGGGGACGATTTCCACCAGTGACAATTGAGGAAGCTGAGGTTTTGGGAGATGGAATGACTTGCTGAAGGACAGTGAGGGTGGCAGATCAGAGCTAGGGTTCAGCTTAGTATCTCGGCTTGCTTATTTAGGCCTGTGGTATTTCTGCTGCCCTTGGAGGAGTCACCTCAGAAAAGATAGGATTTGACTCTGGTTTTTTTCTATTTCCTTTCCAAATTTCCTTTGCTGTCAGTTTGTTTAAGGAATATTGCTGGTACCTTCTCAAATAATACCTAGGAAAATGATTCAAAAAGTTAGCTCTGTCCTCATAGCATGATGAAGTGGGTAGTGCACAAGTTTTGGAGGCACTTCTAAGTTGACATCCTGGCACTTTTTAATGTGTACAGGATTTGAATTGATACTTAAGTAATTTTTTATGCAACATTGGTTTATTATGTAGCAAAAGTACAAGGATACTTGGAAAATGTTAAACTAATTGTTGTCTGTAAGCCTTGCAGTCCATGTGTCTTGGACAGGGATCCATTCTACTCCTAATGGATGTTTCCCAAGAGTACTTTTTCACCCTTCTTTTCTCCTCTAAGGCTGCTAGGGGAGATTTATTATAAAGGAATTCATGAGATCTCAGCACTTAAGGTCATGAGGTATGAGTTGGTCTTGCAATGAACTAGAACTAGAAAGCTGTCAGCAACTAAGTAGCCACCCTTATTTCATTTCATCTTTTGTTTCTGTAGATTAGAGGTTGCCCAATTTTCTGTAAAGGGCCAGTTAGCAAATATTTTCAGTTTTACAGCTTCATGCTGACTTTGTTTCAGCTACTTAACGCTGCAGTTCTAGTGCAGAAGAGCCATACAAGTGGTTGTGACTGTGTTCCAATAAACTTTTATTTACAGAAAAAGGACAGGAATGGATTTGGCCCATAGGCCACTGTTTTTGACCCTCAACCTTGGCTCTAGACTTCTGCAGACTACTCCAGTTGCATATACGGTATTCATCAAAATAGTCTCTAGACAATGCTGTCAGCCCCCAGGTCCACATCTAGGGAATTTAGTGCTGGCAACTAGCTAGAGCTCCATTCCAGTTTCATATGCCTATGGGAAAACTACTGACTCAGGGAGCCAGAGATAGATAGACAGGATTTCCTTAAGGGTGAAACTGTGTGAATTAACATATATTTGGTTCTGAACTCCAGGAAAAAAAAAACCTATAAGGCATGTTTTGGAGTTTTATACTTTGTTGAATGTGGTTTCACTCTAACTCTTACTGTGGATTACGCTAAGCTGTTTTTTCTTTTGTCCGCAGGAGATCTGCCATAACCTAGGGGTCTGCTACATTTATCTGAAACAGTTCAACAAGGTAATGTACGGAGGTGGAGTAGGAGTTGCTGGGATTTCCCTGAGGGTAACTGTGTACTGTTTAGAGGTGCTGTTGCCACTGTAATTGTATATTCTCTCTAGTGTTTGCAGAGCTTTTTGGAAGTGAAAATTAAAAGGGCCTTTTACATTTATCCCCATTTTAATTCTCATTTGTCCATCACTCAACTTTTCTTTCTACTTTTGACAAGAAAATGGAAAGTTCTAGAAATATTATGAATGGTCATCTAATTGCTTTCTTCTTCTTTCTGTTCTTTTTCTCTACCCTGAGTTTAGTTTTCCAGTGTAGAAACAAAAGCCCAATAAGACAAATACCAAAGAGTGGACTTTGCCAGGCATGGTGGTTTATGCCTATAATCCCAGCATTTGGGAGGTTGAGGCAAGAGAATCTTGACTTTGAGACCAGCCTGGGATACATAGTTGAGACAGTGTCTCAAAAAAAAAAAAAAAAAAAAAAAATTGGGCCCTTAAGGCTTTAAGGTGTAGTCATGACTATATGAGCTATCTAAAATGTGCTGACAGAAACTGATTTTAGTTTTTAAGGTCACTGAAAATTAAGGTGTAAGCAGATCTAATTTCTGAGAATTTTTAGTTTTTTCTGTATTTTTCATGATAAAAAACTTTTATTTCATTGTGAATTATCTCTAGGCTGTAAAGCTTTTATATCAGACAAAGCACTTTGAACTTACATTTGGTACTTACATAAAGAATGTATTTCTCGCTCTCTTTTTTATTTGGCAGCACTGGGGTTTAAACTCAGGGCTTCACACTTGCTAGGCAGGTGCTCTATCACTTGACCCACTCACCAGCCCTCTTTTGTGTTTCGAGATAGGATCTCTCAAACTATTTGCTGGGGTTGGTTTCAAACCTTGATCCTCATGATCTCAGCCTCCCAAGTAGTTAGAATTAGCTGGTGTCCAGCAAGAAATATATATATCTTAACTGAGGAGTAGATGAAATTTTTGAGAGCTGTAAAAGGTAACAGTGGTGGAATTGGGTAGTTTCCTTCATAAAGTTCCCACTTCCTGAGGGTGAAGTTTTATTCTGACTCTGATTGGTTAATACCCATGCATCAGTGTTTAGTTAGTGGCAGTTTGGTAAGTGGTATAACCTAGTCTGTCACCTCTGGTGTGGAAAACAGTCTGCACATCAGCAATTGAAATGGAAGAGTAACTTTTTCTCAGGTGGACACCAGCAGCTCACTCCTGCTGTCCTAGTTACTTGGGAGGCTGAGATCAGGAGGATCACTGTTCAAGGCCAGCCTGGGCAGATAGTTCAGGAGACACACATCTCCCAAATAACCAGAACAAAATGGACTGGAGGTCTGGCTCAAGTGGTAAAGCACCTGCTTTGCAAGTATGAAGCCCTGAGTTCAAACCCCAGTCCCACCAAAATAAAAAAAAAAAAGAGAGAGAGAGATTTGGTGGGCCATTTAGGTTTTCTAGATGGATCTACAGTTTTATATACTTGATTAGATTTTTCTCTTCAGAGGATATTTTGTGCAGGTACATTTCTATTCACAGAATTATTGTGAGCCAGGAGAGAGGCAGGATTGGTCTTTGGTTGAACCTGTCCTGAGGAGAATAATATTCAGATTTTACTGTAAAGGTAATAGGCTAAGCAAATATAATACCTGGTATTTATATAAACATTTGTGAATCAGTAAATGACTAAAAAGGGCCTTTTGTTCACCTACTAAGATACAAGCTCCCCTATAGCAAGGAGTTATTTTATTTGTTAATTCTTCTAGGGTGTGGCTCAAGTGACAGTGCACCAGATGGCAAGTACAGGCCCTCAGTTCAAATCTCAGTACTGCCAAAAAAAAAAAAAAAAGGGTATGTTAATTCTAACATACGTAGCACCTAGAACACCAGGCACTCAATGAAAACTTGAGTGAATAAATGAGAACAATCTATTCATTCATTTATCATCACATTGGTGGGGAAGACAAGGCCCACCTGGGGAAAGTTGTACAAGTGGTTAGAGGTATAGCTGGGATCAAGTTTGGTAGGGTATTTTACACTGTATTATGGAGTATGAGTCAAGGGTATAGACGTACCCTTTCAGAAAACATTCAGAAAATTAATCATCTGGTCTTACACATGCTAAGCTGCTAAACATGTACCCTAATCACTGAGCTACACCTCCATCCCCAAGTCTTGATTTTAAAAACATCACTAAGGCTGTCCTATCCCGTATTCTAACAGTAGTGATTTCCCATGATAGTGTTCCATACTTCATCTCTGGGAACACATGCTATCATCTCTGTGTAGACACTCTGGTCTTATTTAAGTAGGATAGCATGTTTAAGTGCTTGTTAATAGAATGTCTGCCTCTAGTTCAAGGCTTGTAATTCCTGATCATAAGATTCTAAACTAAACTTAGATTTCTGTTTATTAATTGTCTCTGTCCTCTATCATGGTAGTGAATTTTCTGGGTATATCGATTACAACACACAGCTTTATGCATTTTCTTCAACAACGTTATGTCTAGAATGACAGGAAAATCCCTCGATTTGGTAAGCTATAAAAGACGTCAAGAGGCTAAGCTTACATGATGCTGGGTGGCAGCCCTGATTCCTGACTCCTCCCTTCTTAGAAGTTGGCTCTTTGAGGTTAGTCCACATGGGTCCAAAGGAGGGTGTCCTTCCAGCAACCAGAGAAGGGCTTAGTCGTTACATTTCCCAAGGGAGGAAAGAAGACAGTTGAGCATTTGGAGCCTCACTGAGAGGCTCATGGCTCATGACCATTATTCATGACCCATGGTGTGGAAAGGCAGTGCCTGATTTTTCTATGACTCTGTAGAAGTTACTTTTGTAGTTTTGGGAAGAAAGTGATCAAAATGGGTGTCTATTAGAATGACAGGAAATGAAAGGCAAATTCTCAGGTAAAGTAAGAAAGTTGGTGGCTCCAGAATCGTGCTGGTAACAGATGTCTGCCCTCATTCCTTAGGAGCAGGAGACAATGTTTCTTGCCCTTTCATGTTTTAACTGTTGAAACTGTTAATCCTGTAGTCACGTAATCTCCATTCTGTGTTGTTCTGGCTTGTTGAAAAAGGCAAGTATCAGTGAGGGATTGAGAAGGCAGGTAGTATTTTACTCAGGACAGTGTTTACTCCCAAGGGTCAATGGCTAATTCTTTCCTAGGGCTGGTATGTCTCCCTTCCTTTGTTTAGTTTGGCTAAACCATGGCACTTTGTTTTATTTGGAGAGCACAGCATTAGGGGCCTTGGATTCCTAAATTACACAGAATATTATGCTGCCTGGCACTGTAAGCGCAGTGAACAACAAAAAAGATTCACAAAGGGGGACTATCATAAGCTGTGTTCCTGACTGCCTTGGTTTTAAAGCTTTGTCCTTTTAATTCTGATCAGTGTAATCAAGACAGTCACACAAAATACGCCATAAGTTCTTTCTCAGAATGTTGGTCCTAAGAAAGGAGTCTGGATTCTGAGCATCTCTTTCTTGCTGAGCAAACCCTGCAGCCAGGGTTGAGGTGACCTACTTTTGAAGGAAATTCCCAGACTGCCTTCAGGAATGTACATGGGGAGCCTCATTGCCAAGAGGACCAGGTGATGACATGTGTCCCATATCCACAGCTCCCCCTGAACATCTCTGTCTTACAGGTTCTCACCAGAAAACACAGAACTACTCACAACTTTAGGACTGCTGTACTTGCAGGTAATGAAACTTTACTCTTCCCAGCACTAACAGTAGAAATGCTTGGGGGTTGTGTAAGGTCGTTTCCCTGCATTTTGATAGCTAGCACATTTGCTAATGGTCATATGGAGCACGAGAGCTTTGCTCTGTTTGATTCTCTTTGCTGAAGGAATTAAGTTTCTGTATTCAAGTTGGAAGCAATTCTGTTTTAGCCTTACTGCAATTCCAATTCTTATTCACCAGGGAAAGGGCATATACGAGAAATAGCTGTCTGGTCTTGGGAGAGAAACTGATAGAAGTTAGCACATGGTGGAGCTCTGGGGCAAAGGCTGTTTGTGTTGCCCCTTTCCAGCCCAGGCCCTATAAGAGAAGGCAGGCAAAGCACATCCAGAGTCCTGAATGTGAAAGGAACATTTTTTTAGCTCTGTCACCCAGGGGTCTCTGAGTGTCCTTGTCTTGCCCACCTCCTCCAATTTCCCTGCTTGATGATTCTGCCTCAGTGGCAGCTAGCTTTATGTCTAATTCATTCTTCTGTAAGAGGAACCAGGAGCTCAATCCTGGGTCCTCTGGGCTTTGGTTTGGGAGGCTGGCCCCAAAGGACATGAGAGGCATTAATGTGGAACAGCACAAGTGTGGCTGAAATGGTGCCCAACAGATAGATACTTTGACCTTAACAGGAGACAATGAACAAATAAGAAAGCCATAGAAATGGGGGTATTGATGCTACTTTCACAAATGACTGAAATGGGTGTTTCCATTTAGGGCGCCTGAATTGCTCTCTGATGTAAATTCTCTGGTTTACTTTTTTCCAAGCTTGGCGTTTACCAGAAGGCATTTGAACATCTTGGAAATGCACTGACTTATGACCCTGCCAACTACAAGGTATTGCAGACTGAAGCCCCCGGGCCCTCCACATTAGATGGTTCCAGGGCCCTTAAGAGGAACTGCAAAGCAAGGGGACATGCCCTCATCTTGAATACCAAGAAGTCAGCCTCTTTTTTAGTAGTGCTGGGATTAAATCCAGAACGACCATTCTGTCACTAAGCTACAGCCCTACCCTTGAGAAATCTTCTCATTTGAAAATATTGGGACATGTTGGTGCTCTCCTCCTTATCTTCTGAAACAGCACATTTGCTGCAACAGGCCTGTAACCTCTGCAGAAAGCAAAATTGGAGCACGTTAAAGTTTGTGTGTTACTTGAGAAATCCACAAAGCCTCCAAAGCTTTGTCCCACAGAAGTGACTGTGGGCTCTGAGATTACAACTTCTGTCCAGATTAGACATTGGGGCTGACACCAGTGGATGAGTATTGTGGCAAGGGGAGAAACACCCGGTAGAGCTGTTTATTGACACAAACTTGGTCCTGATTTAGCCTGACTGTGGGTTCTCTACCTTGACACCTGTCCTTGGAGAGAGAAGGGCTGGACTGATAGGATAAAAGATGACTCACTCTCTATTTTGTGGTAGTAAGAACAGGATCTTAAGTAGCCAAGGACAGGTATATTTGGGGTGTCTGAAGCACTCGGTGTACCAAGTAGAGGCTGCAGAGAGCAGGTTAAAGGCAGTATTTATTGAAATATTACTTTCTCTAGCTAGAAGTTGGAAGTGAGGTTAAGCTGGTGACATTTTGTTTGTACTATGTGGGGTTCTGGAACATTCCTCAAGAGCTTGGGTATGTTATTTTCCCTGGAAGTTTTTCAGTTCTACGTACACTAAGGGGCCTGCTGAGTACCTGCACTAAGGAGGCAGCTTCACCTCTGCCTCCTTGTTTGTTTTCTTAAATAGGGTAACATATTCAAATGCTGTACTCTTTTGGGGCCGACTGGATCACTAACTTCCCCTGTGCCATGTTTTCAGGCCATCTTGGCAGCAGGCAGCATGATGCAGACCCACGGGGACTTTGACGTTGCCCTCACTAAATACAGAGTTGCTGCTTGTGCTGTTCCAGAAAGTCCTCCACTTTGGAATAACATCGGAATGTGTTTCTTTGGCAAGAAGAAATACGTGGCAGTGAGTGTCCTCTCACAAGGACTGTTTGTGCTCAACCATGCAGTTACGGCCTACTGAGCTTGCCCACCCCTCACTGAGTGCCCCCCTCTGCAGGCTATCAGCTGCCTGAAACGAGCCAACTACTTGGCACCCTTCGACTGGAAGATTCTGTACAACTTGGGCCTTGTCCATTTGACCATGCAGCAGTACGCGTCAGCGTTCCACTTCCTCAGCGCAGCCATCAGCTTCCAGCCAAAGATGGGGGAGCTCTACATGCTTCTGGCTGGTAAGACGCTGGTGCCCTGTAGCGGGGAGAAGTGAATTCCTTTAGAGATTGCATAGGGATCTGAATTACTGTCCTGCAGCTTGAAGAAATATGAGAAAGATGCCCAGGTACCTGGTTGCTTTTAACTTGCGGGAACCACACTAGACTCACAGGTTAAGTCACAGCCTTACCTAGCTCACCTCTTACCACACTTTCTTGGTTTGGCTTTTTTTCCCCCTGGTGCTGGTGCTTCTGGCCGTCATATATACTGAACTTGAGTACAGCACCAATATTGAGTATTAAGAACTTGGGCTTTAGGTAGGGGTCTTGCCTCCTCTACTTAATATCTATACCTAGGGCAGATGTGAGGATTATATGATTACATACTCAATGAATAATGACTGATAGTTTCGTTGTGGTTATATAACTGGCCTGTATTGTTGTTATAGTTGGCCCCTGATAATCCCATGTCAAGCTAGAGCATGTTATATAGTATGGTTCCACTCTTGAAACGCATGTATGCCATACAGATTAAATATGATCACAAAACTAAGTTAAAATGTAGCCAGGCAGGGCTAATAATACCTGTAATTTCAACACTTAGGCTGAGGCAGGAGAGTCCAAAGCCAGCCTGAGCTACATTATGACTCTGCCTAAAAAAACCTAAAAATGTTGTTTGGAGTTACCAGACATTTATGTTAAAATCATTCAGGATTGATTAAATTTTTCCTGCTTGCTAGGAATGCCGTCTTATCACTTGAGCTATGACTGCAGTCATGACTAAATACTCTTAGTGGGGAAATTTCTCCATATGCTAAACTTATATAAACCCCAGAGTACTTCCATGTCTGCACCGAAATGGTCTTCAGGGATTTCCTTTTGGTCATTACTGCAGGGTTCTTACTTACAAGAGAAAGGTTGCAAAAGCAACTTAGTAGGCATGAGCAACAGTTGTAACTTGACAGTAGAGATGGCCTTCACACAGTCCTGAAGGACACGCATAGCTGAGGCACCACTGTGAGCAAAGGCATGCAGGCATGGAACCATGCGGTGTCCCCCCCAAGTTAGCAGGCAGTGGGCAAAGAATGGGTGGGAAAGATCTGGGGTCAGACTATGAAGGGCCATAGGAACAGTACAAGAAGCACAGACTTTATCCTGAGGCCCTTCCCACAGTCTGTATTCCTACCTCTCCTCGTAGGTAGGTGCCTATGAAAAGTGAGTGTATGGCTGCTGGCAAAGTGGAATGGGCAGGGCCTTCAGAGCAACTGTTTTTACTTGTTTCATACATTAGGCTTCCAACAAATACTGATTAGTCTGGTGCCTGTGGCTTTCGCCTGTAATCCTAGCTACTCAGGAGGCAGAGATCAGGAGGATTACAGTTTGAAGCCAGCCTGGGCAAACAGTTCATGAGACCCTATCTCGAAAACCCCCATCACAAAAAAGGGCTAGAGAAGGGGCTTAAGCTGTAGGCCCTGAGTTGAAACCCCAGTACTGAAAAAAATAAAATAAAAAATAAAAAGCCTGACTTAAAAAGGAGGGGAAAATTGCTGAGGGGGAAAAAAAAAAGAGGGGAGTCTTCGGTTGCTAAACAAAAATGTGAAGACCACAGTTACAAGATGACAGGGAGCTATTGAGGATTCTTAAGACTGATAGTGCTGAGTCACAGTGTAAGTCAGTGAGATGCTGGAAGCACTGTAGAGGGTGGTAGGAGACATTGTCACTGGTTTGGGCTTAAAGCAGGGCAGTGGCAGAAGAGAAACCATAAAAGTAGGATGTATAGAATTTGACAGCTGATTAGTGGTAGAGAGAGGTGTCTAAGCTGAAGGGCTGAGTGAGTACATGGTAGTGCCATGAGCTGAGGGGGTAGCGGGGTGGTTCATTGTGGGAGTGCTCTTGAAATACTCTTGAAATACTCTTCTTACTTTCCAAGTTGAGCTGTCCTCACTTTCTTTGTTGCAGTGGCCCTGACCAATCTGGAAGATACAGAGAATGCCAAGAGAGCCTATGCAGAAGCCGTCCGCCTGGATAAGTAAGCTGCTTTTGGGAATGGTCTGGACTCTGCAAAGCAAGCCATAGCACTAGTGTTAAGTCAGCCCAGACTCTCCTCCATGGCCTGCGTGTGGAAGGGTGTGGTTCCTAAGAAAGCAGGACTCAGCAGGAATTAACACTGAGAAAATGTTTTGGGTTTTGGGTTTATTAATCAGGAGGCCAGAGAAAGTGCTAGCTGACCGTGGCCTTAGTTTGCTGATAAGCTGTGGACTAGCTAGAATACCAGATGGGACTCTGTGCTCAGCTTAACCCAAAGTGAACTTAGTTCTGCTAGGATTTGTTCCATTGGCTCCAGAGCAGGGTGGGGATCCCTTTTTCAACCCTACCTTGTCTGTACTGAGTGCTGAGATGTCAGGTTTGGGCCCAATGCTAGCTTTACTGGTTGGGAATTAATTCCTTGATTCTTCTCCACAGATCCAGATAGCACATGGTTCCACCTTGCTGTGGAATGGAGACACCTTAATCAGTTTTGTCTTGTTTGTATGTAATGAGAAGGATCTCCAAATGACCACTAGTTGCTTCATAGAGTTCCTGTCTGTCTGTCACAGGTGTAACCCTTTAGTAAACTTGAACTATGCTGTACTGCTGTACAACCAGGGTGAAAAGAAGGATGCCCTGGCCCAGTATCAGGAGATGGAGAAGAAGGTCAACTTTCTCAAGGACAATAGCACTGTGGAGTTTGACTCCGAGGTATTTTTATTAGTTCCCAGACATCATTAAGCAAGCTCTCAGCAGACTTTTGGATCAAGCCCAAATAATCCAAATGCAAGGCGTTCCAGACTTAGAGCTCTTTTGGTTTTGATGTTCCTTGAAGCATGAGTTCATCAGTCAGTTACAGCCTGAGACATACTTTCCTAGAAGAGATAATAGTAAAAGGAAATTCAGGCTTTTGGGTTATCTGTTATGACTAATACAACTCATCTGAGATGAGGTCTGTATCTCTGTAGCTTCTTCCCACTTCCCTTCATGTAGGGAAAGGCAGAGTTAAGTCTAGTGATGCATCAAACCCTAAACTGTTGGGTTTTAAGGTCTTGTGTGAACCCCCTGCCATCCACTGAGGGAAAGTCTCTATGCTCTGCTATTCAAGAGTGACTTCGTTATGATAAGTACCCATTTCAGCTGGAACCCCCTGAAGGAAGGCCCAGGAAGAGGTGGGTTGGCTTCTCTCTGCTGACTTGCCTGTGACTCTGTTTTTTTCTCCCCATGTGGACATAAGATGGTAGAGATGGCTCAGAAGTTGGGAGCTGCTCTCCAGGTTGGGGAGGCACTGGTCTGGACTAAACCAGTTAAAGATCCTAAATCAAAGCACCGGAGTGCGTCAGCCAGCAAACCCGCCTCTCTCCAGCAGCCTCTGGGCTCTAATGAAGCTCTAGGACAGGCAATGTCTTCAGCAGCTGCCTACAGAAAATTCTCTTCAGGTAGGCTACACTGCCCCATGGAGCCACCTGTGCAGCAGACTGCAGCTTTGAGCTGGGCTTGCACACTCTAGATGCGTAACATGGCCAGTTTAGTACTGGCCAGAAGGGGAAGTTTCTTTAGGGCAAGCAGTGTAGTCGGTAACACTTCTTACTAACAAGGCTTAGTTGGATGGTCAGTACACTGGGTTTTTATAATTAGAAATACTCTACTAAGTACATTCTCTCTTGCTTTATCATAGATCAGCATAGTATGGGTAATTAAAGATTTCTTTCAGTGACTGAGCCGCTGAAGACACACTTAACTATAGCTTTATTTCTTCAGTGTGGACTTCTCTCATAGCTGTACCATGATCTCACTAGTCCCAGAAAAATATGGGGTTTCCTCTTGAAATTTGACAGGAAAAATAATAATCGCTTCTGCAATCATGGAACTGAGAATTCAAGCTCTCGTTTTGTTACTAGGTACCGGAGGAACATCCCAGCTCACAAAGCCACCATCCCTCCCTCTGGAGCCAGAGCCCACTGTGGAAGCAAGTCCAACTGAAATATCAAGAGAAAAATAGGAACAACTAAGAGAAAAATGGCCAAAATAGGATGACCCTAGAGTAGGGCGCTCTTGGGCAAGGCCTTTGTACCAGATTGAGGAAGGTCACGTGAACAGGCAAAGCAAGGCCAGCCCTGTTCCTAGATTAAGCACCACAGAATTAAAACAACTTGGGATGTGTGGTGACAATCATGAGGAGCCTAAGACTTATGCAGCCCTCTGCTGGCCCCACTGTTCAGAAATAGGGAGAAGGTAGTCTAGACAGGTCCCTTTAAGAATTGGGAACAGGGCTTGAGTCACTGTGCACATAGCTCCAAGAGTCAGCAAGGCACATGGGGCAAAGGCCTTCACTAATTAATAAAGGACTTTCATTTCCCGGCTGACTGAGCCCTTCCTTTGTGCAAGGAAAGACAGACATGCTCAGAAGCCTCAGTGGTGACAAAGCCCTGACTTGCTGGAATGATGTGGTACATCAGTCCCCATGGCAAACATAAACCTTGGATTCATATCCAGTTAAACAATCTAAAAGAAAAAAATCATGAAAAGAGCTCAAAGTCAAGGCCCAAACTGGGAAGTAGCCCAGCCGCATTTGCCCAAGAGGAATCTAGAACAAATCCCTGTATTTTGTTCTTACGCGAGGTCAGAGTCTAGAGCCTTATCATGTCAGTAGGAGCCAAGGGCTGGTCTGGTATCAGCACCAAGGATCTAAAGAGGAAAAAAAGGAAAAGCTGCTTAGCCAACGAATTTTAATGTAAGACAATCAATGAAAATCACTGACCACATGTCATCAATACATTGTATGTCCTTTTAAAGATTATGTATCATTCTTTTGGGGAAAAGCTGTTATTCAGGTATTAAAATAAGAGGTCACATTAAAAACTTTTTTTAAAACCATGATCACTGTCTTCTTTTACCTGTTTTCAAGCCTAGTTTGAAAATAGAGGAGGAGCTTCAAGGACAAGTTCCCACTTGGTAGTAGCACGGCCACTGCAGCAGCCCTCACTCCACTCACCTGGGGGCCAGTCCCCAGTTTTCACTTAAAGAGCCTTTTACTCAACAGAACTGGAAGGTAGAAAAGTGGCCCTCCAAAGTACTTGGCATTCTTTATACTATGACTGGGTCTGATTTGACACTGAAGAGGCAACTAGCTGAGCAGAAGCCTCTTACCTCCAGAAATTGAGCAAGATATCAGAAGTGATACCCCTGTCCCTAGTGCGTTTGTGACAACTGGGGTTTTACTCTGAGCAGTTGAGAAAAGTCAATTCTACATCAGTGTGGAGGCTGATCTACACTGGTCAAGTTACTGGAAAGGTCTCACAAATAATGAGAGTGTAAACTAAGACAGGTGGAGAGGAGGTGGTGGCAGATGTGAGAGAAGTTTAGGAGGTAAAATCAACAGAAAGCCAAAATTGACGGATTAAAAGTTAATGACTGGGAAGAATTATAGAAATCAAAGTAAAGGAATACAGGGAGAACTTGGGTCAAGGGTTAGTTGTGGAGTCTACGATGACATCCATTAGATACTGACTAGCTGGACTTCAGGAAGAGTCTGAAGACAAGATTCAGGAGCGTCTTGGATGACAGCTGCGAAGTACAGATTTCAAAGGAGTCTTCTAAGGAAAGGTGGTATTAAGAAGGCCGGGAGCCAAAGAAAGAAAATGAATATTTGTGGGGAAAAACAGAAGACTCAGCAACACTGGAGACTCAGGCAAAACCCACAGGGAACCAGGAGAGTAGCGAGGATGGAAAGTCAAGGCAGAGGAGTTCAGGAAGGGAACGGTAAGCCTCAGTGAACACTCCCAACAGAATGTTACTGTTCATCCCCAGTCTAGAAAGCCGAGGCTCAGAGAGGCAGATAAGTGGCCAGCATTTTTAACTCGGTCTGAAGAATACTGTTCCCATTAGTCACCAAGTAGAATGCACCACTGGTGAAGCTGTGCTGGCAACGGAAGCCCGTTTCGCCACAATGAAGCAGAATCAGACTGCTTTTCTGTGGTGCTGGGTAACTGAACGCGGGGCCTCGCCAATCTAGGAAGGTGCTCTACCACTTGCCACATTTCAGTACAAAACACAACGATCGAAAGTGCGTATGCACCTGGCATTACTTCAGCCCACATTATGCAAAGACAAATAACTGGATGTGTTAGTGTGTCCTCTCAGAAACTGATGATAGATAAAAAGTGGACACATAACCACCTTCGACTGCCCGGGCCTGCCATTCACAGAACAGGCCTAAAGCATGCTAGGCAAGTGCTCTACCTCTGAGCTACACACCCAGTCCTGAGTACACGTTCTTTGCAAGTGTGCAAGTACACTCAGCAAGACTGAATATGCTGGAGTGCCGGGATCGCAGAGGTCCTTAACCCGAAAGGGCTCAAGAAAGGAATGAAAAGACAGGACATATGAAAGGACTCACTCAGGGAGGGAATGACAAAACAGATTGAGAGGGCCAGCGGGCTGACGACCAACTGGCAAAATTTAATTTTTCTCAGCAAGCTTTATACAAGAGGAAGAGACTTAAACACCAAAACACTGACCTAGTTACAACCTTTCTGTTTTTGCCATCCTGCATTCTTACTGCCAGTGTCCCTGACTAAGCATAAACTTCCTTTCGGTCAAGGGGAACCACTTAACGTTCCTCCCCACCGTGATAGAGGCATGGGGCACCTGCAGGTTCCGACCCTGTCGGAATGCTGCTAAGCCACAGCGACCTTGTCAGACTGTGGTTTTTAGTTCCCAACACTGGATCATAAAATAGGTCTCATCTCAATGTCAGAACATAAACACGATGTGGTACACAGGCCTATAATCCTGACACTCGGGGAAGCTGAGGCAGGAAGATCATGAGTTTGAGGCTAGCCTGGGCTACACAGACTATGTCCCCCCCAAAAAAATTTCTGCGGGTGGAGGAGTGGCTCAAGTGGAAGAGTGCCTGCCTAGCAAGTGTGAGGCCCTGAGTTCAAACCCCAGTGACACCAAAAAAAAAAAAAAAAAATGAAATTTACAGCATATGTACTCTGAATATAATAAAATTAATTAGAAGTTAACATGTCTAAAAAGCACCCAAATATTTGGAACTTGGCATTTGTAGTAATAGGAAATGAAAGATTATGTAATAAAACTCATAATTCAAGGAAGAAATCAAAAAATATTTTGAACTGAATGATAATGAAAAATTGAAATTGGCACCCTGTTAGCGGCGCTAACGGAATACACAGCCATCAACCCTTCTAGAGAGGAGAAGGTAGAAAAATCCAAAGGAAGAAAGGGAAGAGCAAATACTGTATGGGAAAAAGCTAAATCCCCAGGAGAGTCAGAGAACTCATCGGTGTCAGGATGAAAGAGGGCAGAGTGTTACAGACGTGGAAAACAAGGGAATATTCTGAACAATTTTTTGGTAATAAAATTGACAACTCAGAAATAACAGAAAAATAGAACCCAGTGAAACAAAATGAAATGTAAAATCTTCACAGATCTATCTTGTCAAACTGAATTTGTAAATCAAAAGCTATCATTAAAGCAAACTCCTGGTCCAGAGGCAAATTCTATCAAACACTTAAGAGACGAAATACACTCTGTATTACAAAGAACTTTCAGGAAACAGGAGGGGCAACTTCCCAACTTGTTGTATGAGGTCAGTACAACCCTGACATCAGAAGTGAAAGACGTTACAAAACAAAGCTGTGAGCCATTACCCTGCACGAACAGAGGCACAAAGATTCTTAAACTATCAGGAACTCAAATCCAGCAACGCAGAAAGACTAATATGCGCGTCACAACCAAGTTGAGGTTAGCTCAGGAATTGAAGCTTGGCTTAATATTTAAAAACCAAAGCACTTACATGCAAACAAAGAAGAATAGACCAGGAAAGGCAGTTTTAGAAATGCTGTCAGGCAAAGGACTTACTACGAAGGGTGTCACCCAAGTACCAGGCAGGAGGATCAGAAGACACACATGGTGCAATCATGAGCATATGGGAGATGCTGCACATCCCAGGTCGTCACAGAAATCACATTAAATTAAGGCACCACTGCACACCTGCTGGAGTCACCCAAATCCACAACACTAGCACCATCAAATTCTGCAGAGGACATGGTACAGCCACTTTGGAAGATAATTTGGCAGGCTCTTAACAAAACTAAACATACTTTAACCCAACAATCATAGTCCTTGATATTTCCCAAATTACAATTATAAAAAAGCCCGCACACACAAGTTTATAGCAGCTTTCTTCACAACTGCCCAAACCTGGAAGCAACCATGATGTTCTTCAGAAGGTAAGTGGATGAATAAATGACAATACATCAGGACAAAAGAAAAAGTACTGAAAAGAGCCACGAGCCACGAAAAGACACGGGATTAAGATTACTTCAGTGTGTAATACTAAACCAATGACGCCAGTCTAAATTAACAGCTCCATATTACAAGATTCAGCTATATGGCATTCTGGAAATTTAGCCATTCCACAATATGTATTTCAATACAAGCTGTACACAGGATATACCATTTTGTTAATGAAAGAAATCTGGAGATGGGAGTAGCGGTGAATGCCTGTAATCCCAGCTACTCAAGAGACAGAGAAAGATTATAGTCTGAGTCTGAAACTGCTGGACCGACCCTGCACAGCATGAACTGTGGGTGGGGACGGGACTGCCCTTTTCTCAGCCAGCTGGACCTGCACGCCAGCGGGAAGCCAGGAGCTCTGTCCGCTGCGAGGTAATTCGGACAGCCATCTGAAGGAGAAACACTCTTGAGAAGCAGTTAAGGGTCCTAACTAAGTCAGTACCGAACAGGAATCGTGTCACCTCCAAAGCTTGTCCTTTGAACAAGTTATTCTGGAGCAACTGAGGGAAAAAAGGACGCTTACTTCACACTATTCACAAAAGTCAGCGTAAGATGAATTATAAACATGAATGTAAAGCCAAGAGCAAAGTTTGCAACTTACACTTTTTGGCATCAAAACTTGACTCCAAAGCTGCAGTCATTAAATAGCATGGTACCAGCATAAAATGAATACACAGACCAATGGAACTAAGATGAGAATCCAGAGAAACTCACATAAATGGGCAAATGAATTTTGACAAAGATGCTAAGGCCACGCAATAGGAAAAACAGTCTCTTCAACAAGTGGTGTTGAGACAATTCCACTCCTAGGGATATATATGAAGGAACGTGAGTCAGGTGACTCCAGAGGCACCTGCACACCCATGTTTACTGCAGCACTATTCACAATAGCTAAGCTATGGAAACAGCCAAGATGCCCCACCACTGACGAATGGATTAAGAAAATGTGTTTATATACAATGGAATTTTATTCAGTAGCAAAGAAAAATGAAATTCTGTCATTCACAAGTAAATGGATGGACCTGGAGAACATCATCTTAAGTGAAGTTAGCCAGGCTCAGAAGGCCACAAGCCGCATGTCTTCACTCATGTGAAATTACAGACCCAATGCAAATACAGCAATACTATGAAAAGCAGGCCACACCGAGGGGAGGGCACATGCGAGAGAGGGAGGTAAAAGAAGGCAGTTAGGAAGGTGAATATGGTTGATGTACTTCCTACACAAGAATGAATACAGAATTTTTACACCTGTTGAAATCACCATAAGAATGGGACTAAGATAGAAATCGGGTTATAATACATATATACATAGAAATGTCACAATGAAACACCCTGTACAGCTATCTTAAACAAAAATGTCATTTTTTTCCCTTTTACAAAATCAGAGATTCCCCAGGTCCTGTCTGGGGGCTTGGTACCAGTGGAAGGGGGGAGGACGTGGGGAAAGGGTGGCAGGGGGAATATGGTGCAAATTCTGTGTACCCATGTATGTAAAGGGGAAAATGAGACTTGTTGAAACAACTATTTCAGGAACAGGGAAAAGGGGGGGATAAAGGAGAGTGATGGAGGGGGTGAATTCAATGACGATATATTATAAGAACTTTTGTAAATGCCACAATGTACTCCCAGCACAACAATTTTAAAAAATCAATAAAAAAAGAAAGATTATAGCCTGAGGCTGGCCAGATGAAAGCATCTGAAAAATAAAACTAAGAGCAAAAAGGGCTGGGGGCGTGGCTCAAGTGGTAAAGCCTTTGCTTAGCAAGTGCAAGGTCCTGAGCTCAAACTTAACACTATACATAAAAAGTAAGTCAAAATATATTATAGACCTAGCCATAAAATTCCTACAAGGAAATATGAGGCTATATTAATGACAGGCATAGTTCTGCTTCTCAGGGCAAAGAGAAGACAGTTCAGACACTACGAAAATAGGAATCCAAGGCTGGGGCATGGCTCAAGGGGTAGAGTGCCCGCCCGGCAAGCACAAAACCCTGGGTTCAAATCCTAACACTACCAAAAAAAGAAAGGAAAGAGGAATTAAGCCAGAGTACATGAACTCTTAGAGCTCAGTAATAAAAACGTAATGACAATGTACACCAACCAAAAACTCAATTTTAAAAAGTTGCATTGGTTTGGATTTATGGCAGGCCCATCCTCTGGGCCTCAGTGTCCATGAGCAAACTACGGCTCAGAACCACTGCCTGGCCTCTGCCTGTCGGCCGCTGGCACTGAAGTGGGTTGCACAGTGGGGAAAAAGAAAAGTGGGTCAGAGCTGGACGTGGCCAGTAAGCACAGGAAGTAATGCTCCTCACTTGTCACAGGTCTATGCAAATTAAAACCAAGATGAAACACCACTCTATACCAAGCAAAATAACTAAAATTAAACACTGATAATTCAAACTGTCGGCCACTGCTGGTGGGAATGTAAAATGGTCCAACTACTTTGGAAAAAAAGTGCTTCCATCCAGCAACTCTACTCCTATGGACTTTTACCCAAGAGAAATGACTACGTATCTATACAAACACTTGTTCATAACTGCTTTATTCATAAAAGCCTCAGTGGTCAAAGGCAGCACTCGGGAGGATCATGGTTGGCTGTCCTTGAAACCTTAGAGGCGCTTATGAATAAGCAAGACCCCATTTCAACCAGTGGCTGGACGTGGTGGCGTGGGCCTGTCATCTCGGCTACTAGGGGAAGCACGAACAGGAGACTTGTGATCTGGGTCAGCCCCAACCTATAAAGTGACACCCTATCTCAAAAATGCCACCAAAATAAACAAAAAATAAAAATAAAACACAAAAGGCTGGTGGAGTAGTTCAAGTGGTAGAGCACCTGCCGAGCAAGTTTAAGGCTTTGAGTTCAGCCACTAGAATCCCTCCCTCCTCCCCACAAAAAGCCATCAAAGTGGAAACCTGTATTTACAATGAAATATTATTTAGCTATAAAAACAGAATTACATGCAACATTACTATCAAAAAATCGTGCTGAGAAAAGCTCTATACAAAAGACCAAATACTGAATGATCTCAGTCATAATTCCACAACTGGCAAAACTAATTGCGGTGAGAAGAACAATAATGTAAGAGTGGTTTCGGGGAGGTCCGGGTAGGAGCCAGCATGGCTTTGGAAGAAAAGTGAAGGCGCTATTCTGGGTAAGGGAGACGGTCTGTGTCTTGACAGGCATTTGGGCTAGAGAGCTTTAGATCTGGTTTTGTCAAAACCTACCAAATGGTACAATTAAAATTTTTGCAGTTTCACTATATAAAAATTTTTACCTAAAAAAAAAGACCAAAAATAAAGTGTGAAATTATTAAAATAGCTTTCAAATTACCTAAAATAGTCTTAAAGAGACCAGGGGCTGCCTGTTCTTAGTGATAACTGATAATTTTTAAAAATGAACTGCCACATATGTGTCAAATACTTTGCGTGGCAGTTTCCTTCAGTCATCGACAACTCTGTAAGGAGCAGGTGCCACATTCACCTCACTTTACAGATGAGAGGAGTGAGGGTGAACAAGGGCGATGTGTCATACACTTGCCATCTCAAAAACCCTGCCCGGATTTGATCTTCCCACCAATGCAGTCACCCTGTCCCACTCAAACCTGTGAGAGAATAAAATGCAAACTGAACATGGGTGAGGACTACAGGGCCAGGTTTGCACTCTTACCTCTCAGCAGGGTCGTGTGTGCTTCGGCTTTTCCCAGGTTGGTGACTCAATTTGAAGTGAAGGTGAGAGGAAGGCAAGCACACTCACTGAACAGGCCTCCCTCTGTAGGCTGGTGGATTTTCAAATGTCTTCATATAAAAGCCTATGCAGAAACTTCTGTAAGATCCAGGACTGAGGCCCTACCACTTGGTTCTTGTGCCTTCAACCCACATCTGCACCATCTGTCCAAGGTGCCAGATCCCAGGCACCCTTACTACCAGCAGCTTAGCCTGCTGCACAGAAAGGTGGTGTGTTCTGCAGGCAGGGGCGTGGACATTCACGCCTCTATATGCTCGTTCGCTCATTTGGACACATTCATTAACGTCATCAGACAATACATTGTGATACTTTTTTTGTGCTAACCATGAAACTGACTTAACAACTAATAGTTCAAGCCCTATCATTTGAAAGCTACTGTAGGGGCTGGAGCTCTAGCTTGGTGCTTGCCACACAGGCATGAGGCCCAGGGTTAGAACACCAGCATCACCACTCTGGGTAAGTGCTGGGTGCAATTCCTAACGAGTCTTCACGGTTGTCACCAGCAGAGGGTGAGTACTCACAGGCTAAGGAAAAGAGCTTGTGTAGAAGAAACTTTAGCACTAATAAAAGTGTCCTTAGGGTTAAGACTTAGAAATGAGAAGTCTTTTCACTTAAGCTTTCCCAGTAAAAATAGGCTAGAAAGTTGGTGATTATTTTTAACTGAGTGTGGCAGCACAGAAGGAAGAAGTGACAGCCAGATTCCTTAATGAGGTATCTGCTTTCCATTGCAAGCTGTGTAATTCTGTAGACTTAAATTTTCTTAGAAAAACAATAATCAAGACTTTCCTTCTTACCCAAAGCAGGGAGGGAAGGTCATGAATGTCAAGCTTGAAGTTGGTCTGAGATTCCAGAAACTGCTGCTGGGTACCTGGTGTACACGAGGCAGGCCTACACAGCTCCCTTTCAACAAACTGAAAAAGCTACTTCACACTGGTAACTGCCGTTACCTTACCCATTATCAGTGGGCCCAAAGGCCTGCCATCCAGGTCAGCAGAGGGGATACCTAACCCTGAGATGGCAGAGAGATGGTGAAGTCACAAGGTCTGTCCAGAGTGTGGTGGGAACAAAATCAATACAAACCAATTTACTTAAGATTCCTGAAGTTAAATTGTTTTTAATATTCTTAAAAGCACACAGAAGTCTTGATTTATTAAAAAAAATAAATACATGACAAATTTTTTCATGATCCTGGGGCTCTCATGAGGTCAAAGTCTTTAAGATGTGTCAATGAAAGCCTAAGACACACGTGATCTGTTAGACACACAGGAGCGCGTTCCACTTGTGAAGCAGATTCCTTCAAGGCTCAGGAAGGACAGGCTCTGTCTTCTGTTGCAGCAAGCACACCCAGAGCCGGGCAGTGAGGCTGAGCACAGGCCACAGTAGCCTTCGACCAGCTGGCCCACAATCTGAGGAGCCGAGGCAGGAAGGTACAGGCAAGGTCCTTCAGCTCATGGTGCCACCCGGGCTTCAAAGTAAGTGCTCCCGGGGCCCCCACGGTTCTCCAGCCTTGTTGCGATTATAACGCACAGGAGTACTGCTCTGTCCTCATCCGTGGCTCTGACCGAAGTCAGAGCAGGAGATGAGAAGGTATGCTCATTAGACACAGTCATTGTTAACACTGAAAGGACACCACGATTCTGTGCCCCAGCAGTGAGCCAAGACACAGGAATCTCCCATCAGGCTTTACGAGAGCCCAGGACTGCAGATGAAGACTGTACCCTAGGCAAGGCAAGAAAGGAAGTGCTTTCTCTGGAGACACACTCTCAGGAGTGAAGAAGTCTGGCTATAATACTTGATGGTGCTGTACAGACTGGGGATTTGGGAAGTGAGGTTTTCACCCCTATAACACACAACATAAAAAGACAAAAATCCAGTTTCATTAGCGAGAGCTAAATTTCGATTAAAACTTGAAATGTTTTTATGAAGTCGCCAACAGGCTGGAATGTATCTGTACAGTTTAATCTGCTGTTGTTTCTTTGGCTGTCTTCAAATTAGATCTACAAACTGTTCTGACACCCACAAGCCTATTATCCAAACCACTTTCTTCCAGTAATTCTTTAGTTGGCTAGTTCTCCTCTCTCAGAAAGACTTCCCATGACTTCTGAATAGAAGAGTCCTTCGGCTGAAATGGCATCTCCCAGGCCCACAGTTCGAATGGGCTCTTTACACACCAACACTGCTGTGAAATGGAAAGATATCCCCTCTCTGCGCCACTCCACTACTGGCGTGCTTGGGTTCAATACGACCCTGGAGCCTGCCTCTGAATACGAAGTCATGAACTCATGGGGTGCCTTCAGAGACACTCGGCTGGCATCTATGCTTTCAGTGGCACAAGCCTGTGTCCCAGCCACACGCGCTCCTGCAGCCACAGCAGCGAGCTGATTGGCCCAGTGACCATCCACAGTGGCCAGGATGTGGTAGACCAGCGTGTGGAAATGGATCCTGGTGAGGTCTGATGCTCTGCTTTTACTCATCCCATGTTCTTTCAGGATCCAGAAGAGAATGTCACTAACCATGCCCACATCAGGAACACCGTCCCAGGAGGAGAGAGAAGAATGAGGTCCAGAGGCAGACTGGCTAAGAAACAGTAGCTCCTGTTCGTTCAGCCCAAGGGAAGTCACTGCAGGAAAGACCTGCTAACAGAAACAATGACAGGTCTCTTTCTGATGGACACACCCAGCACCTGGCTATCTTAGGAAACAGTCAATGACTGAATGGCAGGCTTCTTTTCCTTACCATGACACCCTGTCCCTGGGGTCAGTTTCAGCTATCACACCCCTAGTGGTCCCCACTGTCATGATCATAGGACAGACTGCAGAGTTGCCCTAACACTTTCAGATCCAGTGTTCTGTCTCCTGAAGTGTTGGTAGTCATTATGCCAGTCAAATGGGGAGTCCAGGGTCATGGGGCTGAGTAGGCAACACCAAGAAGCAGGAAGATGGTTTCATGTTGTAAGCAGGTGTGGATTAGGAAGATACCAGCATTGAAGTGACACTATGTAATAAACAGGAGTCGTTGGGTCCACCCCTCCCCATCCCCATGGTACTGGGGATTGAACCAGGGCCTTGTGCATGCAAGGCAAGTGTTCTATCTCTTGAGCCACGCCCCCAGCCCTTTTGCTTTTGTTTTTTTCAGCTAAGGTCTCACTAACTTTGCCCTGACTGGCCTCAAACTTGTGATCCTCCTGCATCTGGCTCCTGAGTAGCTGGGATTATAGGCATGTACCCCCACACCTGGCTGAGCTCAATTGCAATCTTACAGGGAACGACTATGTCCACCTCATTATCTTTCTTACTTAGCACTGCCCTCCTTAGAACCAGGTGATGGTTTCTACAAAGACATGGGTCCCTGAGTATGTGTACAGGTGTATGTGCAGTGCATAAAAATTTTAAAAAATAATGACCTGTAACTGTGCTGACATAAGAGAGCAGCTTCACTTACTACATGTTCTCTACCAGGCTGTGAGCCAAGAGCTTTGTCTGTATAGCTCACTGGAACCCTTGGAGGGAAGAAGGGACTCCTTCGGTCTACAGACCATGGCTCAGAAAGGTTAAGTAGAAGTTCAGAGAAGATGAAATTAAAATGGCTTATTTGTTAAAAAGTGAAGATACTCAACCTCAAAAGGAGAAATGCAAACTATACTGAAAAACGTTAAGAATGAGCCCAATTACAAATTAGGAACACTGACTGACAATGAGGAGACACGGAGGTTCACTGGTCACGACAGAGGTATCCTCCAGTGGGGGATGCTGACAGTGGGGGAAGGCTGTGCTATGTGGGGGCAGGGAGCACATGGGATGCTGTACATTCTATTCAATTTTGGTATGAACCAGCAACTGCCCTAAAAATAAAGTCTATTAAAAGGGGAAGAGGGTAACTGAGGATGCAGCACCAGTGGTATAGCACCCGCCTAGCATTTGTGAGGCCCTGGCTTCCATCCTTAGCACCACTAAAAAAAACAGGTGGGGTGGGGAAAAACTATATTAAAATGCCATTTTTCACCTGCCAGACTGACACAAATGCAAATTTTAATCACATTCTATTAACAAGGGCATGAGCAAAGAAGCACTTATAAACATTGTTTATAGCAAGAAAACTGGTAAAATTTCCAAGGAGGGCCACCTCCAACTTATAAATCCTTTCTTGGCAGGCTGTGGTGGCTGAAGCCTATAATCCCTGCTACTTGGGAGGCAGAGATCAAGGGAGATACGGTTCAAGGCCAGTCCAGGCAAAAACGTTCACAAGAACCCATCTCAACCAATTGCTGGGCATGGTGGTGCACATCTGCCATCCCAGCTATGCAGGGATGCACAACTAGAAGGATCGCAATCCAGGCTGGCCTAGGGGCATAAAGGAAGACCCTGTCTCAAAATCAAACACTGAGAAAAGGGCTGGTGGAAGGTCAAGTGACAGAGCACCTTCCTGCAAGCATGACCCTGAGTTTAACCCCAGTACAGCCAAAAAAGTAAAATAAATGTTTTCTTATGCTCCAATCCGACAATTCTGCTTCCGAGAATTTAGCATACATACTTGCTCACAGGCAAAACAGAACAGCACGCAGTGTTGTTCACTACACATCCTATGTACGAGAAGGGATGGGAAGCAATCAACCCCTCAGGGAGCACAGGCCACACAAACTGAGGAGCAGCCACACCATCCTCTAAGCAGTGAAGACTCAGGTGCCCTCCATGGGCAGCAGAGAACTCACCACCAGCAAAACAGTGCAGTGCAGAACAGCATACTCAGTGAGCTCTGAGCTATGCTATCTTTTGGGTAAAAAGGTGCAGAGAAAAGGGTGTGTTTCCATATTTTCTTATACATGCCCAAAGTAACTCTGAAGAGAGATGACACTAATGAGATTTTAAGGAAGGGCACAGATGGAGGCAAGGGAAGAGCTTGAAAGAGGGAGAGTACATTGTGTTCTTTAATACTTTCTGGGTTTGGAACCATATATTACCAATCACCACAGTAAAATGAAAGGACAAGTTACCTGGCTAAGCCATAAAGCAAGTGAGTGACCAAGGTGGTATGCTGGTCCAGTGTCTTAGCTTACGTTCTTCTGCCTCACTCACTGGGATTTATCCAGTCACTGCTGCTGTCCAAAGGCAGGAGATAAGCTCCTAGATGCCTGGTGGTGAGGGAGTCAAGTTCACCCCAAGTTTCATGACTTTGTGCTTCTTGAAATTTAACTGAAAGCAGCTGAGCTGAGCTTTTTCTGCAAAAAGTGTCCACTTTCCCCTTCCCCATTCTAAAGGGAGAGATGTGACTCACAGACCCACTCTGCTGCATCTCTAACCTCACAGAAGATCCTGTTCCAGAACAGTCCTGGATTCTTTCTAGCTGCCCATGGACTTAGGTCTGAGTGGCATGGCACCCATGTCTCAGTGAGCTGGCCCCAGAGCCCTACATGTTCCCACAGGAAAAGGGGTTCCTCTGCAAGTCGCCGAGAGGCCAAAGCCAAAGGAGGCTGTGCGAGGCCAGTGTGGTTACCTGATGCACAATGCTGCTCATGAGCTCCCTGTCGGTCATACTAGCCAGCTCTAGGTGGACTGGAACACCAGCCGGGATGTCAGAAATGGAGGTTACGAGCTGCAAAGAAAGGAGGCAGCACTGTCATTAGGACAGAAAGTCAGGTAAGAAGGAAGACATGATTACGTCCTGAGCAGCCTGGATGCCCCCTGGTACCTGCCTTCTTTGCATCCTTATGAAAGCTACAAGCAATGTGGGTTCCCACCACCTCTGTGGACAAGGGCTCTTTTTCCCAACACAAAATCACACTCGGCAAAGAGCCACCAGGGTTACAGTTGGAGGACAAAGAACTTCCCCTGTGTGTTCATGCTGTCAGCTGATTCCTGGGACCTAACCTGAGCAGTTGGCTTCAAGTGTTGTACAGATCTGCAGGGAGCACAGAATAGCTGATGTGCAGTGAGATGGTACAGGTAACACACAAGACACAAACACAAGCCCTGCAGCTGGAAGCCACACTCAGTTTAGCACAGGATGCAGTGGCTCAGGCGAGATGTTCTGACCTGTCCTGCTCAAGCTGCTGCCAAGCTATGTCCTTGGGAGACCAGGACCGAAGGCAAGGCAGCACAAGCTAGAGGCTGAGAGGGGCAGGAACCTGGAGAAAAACACCAGCTGAGGTCTGAGAGATTCTGTGACAGTGCTGTTACCTCCAAGAGTCTCTTCCTCTGGAGCTCCTTGCTTTGTCCCTCCATCATGTGCAATCCAGAGAGGACCACCAGGTCAGGCTGGAACTCCTCCAGGCTAGACACAAACACCTCCAGCATACTCATGGCCCCGTTGGAGAGGTCGTGTGAGAAGATGAACCGGTTGGCATGGGGAGCTTTATACGGGCCATTAGCTCCCTTTGAGTTCCAGGAAAGCTCTGTTGTCCACTGGGCTCTTAAACACAGGACACAGTTACAGAGTGCATGGCTCCAAATACCAGCACACCACTCATACTCAGAAGACAGGTCAGGCTGTCCTTTCCATAGGCAGTGCCTGGAGCACCTTCCACTGATCTGGCATCTAAGCAGGCTGAAATCCCAAGAACCGAGCCTCCTACTGCCCTCCCCCAGCAGTGTCTGGACACTTATCCAAAGGGTGGGACTATCTGGCTGCTTCCTCCTTCTGTTGAGGTGCTGTGGAGTAATGACTGTTCAACACCAAGTTCAAGTGCTACTTCCTCCCTAAATGTGCCCTTCCTAACTCTGCCATCCCCACCCAACCCAACTTGATGACTTCCTTGATAGGGCCACCACTGCATCCCATCATAGGACTTGGCACACGACTTTGCATTAGTGCAAAGTGCCCACCTCCTCCAGTGAATTGTGAGCTAAGGGCAGGATCCACATTCCTCCTGCCTCACACTGCACCTGGCATACAGCGTGTGAATGAATTAGCAAAGAACAATTGAATAAAAGAACAGACTGATGATGACAACAAAAATATGGGTATGAACTCCAGATCCAACACTACTCAAATTAACAAGACTTTATACAACAGGAAAAACACACTACGTTGCTATTCTCCATAATGCAAGACAGGCTCCCTGCCCCTAAACACTGACACTGCAGGAAACACAGTCTAACTCAGCCTAGGGGAAAAGAGCCACACAGCATTCACAACAAGTTGCTTTCTTCAGGGAGTGAAACAGAAACAATAATTTCTGCAAGGCCAGGACAGGAGGACGTGGTGAGTGGCTGTGTCTGCAGACACAGGACTGACAGAGCAGCAGAGAAGCATGCAGTTAATGCCTCTCTGTTCTCACAAAGCTGTGTACTTATTTCTGTAAGCAAGTTCCCTCAATTTATAACCCTGCCCTTCAGCCAGTAAGTCAGCAAAACCTCTGTGTAGTGACTCACTGGATTCCCAGCCCAAGTCTGAAAATGAGCTTCTCTGAGGGTAGTCTGGTAGGAAGAAAAGAAAAAAAAACTTGATGAATGCTCTCAGAATTTATCCATCCAGGTTAGACAGGAGCAGGAGACGGATTTCTATTAGGAAAACTGCTCTGAGGACTGCAGCCACCAGACTGTGTTCCCTCCTGGGAACTATGAAAACGTAACCTCACGTAAAGCTCAATGGAAATCACCGCTCTGCACAAAGAAAAATATAACACAGGAAAGAAAAACTGAAACGGGAGGGTTATGAACAAGGACAGAACCAATCTCCTTTCAAGACAAGCCGAGCCAGCTTCTGACCTCCATGAGAGGCATAGCTGTCAGATACATAGCACAGCCTTGCAAAGACACTGGTCTTCACTCTAGTCACCACAAAGGTGCCTAATTTATGCTCTGGGCACCAATGAAAGTGGAGTGAGACGAAATCTTGGCACATCTTAGCTATTCTGGATATCCCTGTCAGTAGTCACACTCATCAAGCAGCTCACAATGTTTGGTCCTCACCATAATGGTCAGAAGTGAAAAGTGTCACACTCATTTCCCAGCTGGAGAAATTGAGCTGAAAGTCAAAACTCTATCAGCAAATGTGCATGGCCTGCTGCAGCACTCTGCTCGCCAAATGCCTAACTGATTCTAAGAAGCACCTCAGAAAGAACCAGAAAAAAGCAACAATTCTTTTTTTATATCTGGAGAAAGGTGCAATTTTCAAGAAGCAGTACATTTTGTGTATTACATTACAGTTAATTAGTCAGTAGATGAGGTCTCTTGTCTGATTTGGAAGCAGTTCACTCAAGTATTATAAGCACTGCTTTGGCGTACCAGTTAGTGTTTGGGTACTTGAGCCGTTAATGTATATTACTAACGTGTTCAATCAAAACTCAACAGTCAGGAGTTCTCGACAGAGGAAGAGATGCAGCAGGAAATACAGAATCAAAGCAAGTCCGGGTATTTAAGATTCTCACAGAAATAAGGCCTGTAGTCTTTATAACACATAAAATCAACTGGGGGTGGGATGGGGTTAATTTGGATTTATAAATACCAGAATATTATGTAATGGGAACTAACAGAAGTGATGCTAAATACACAGTGCTTCCACTCCAAAGGAAAAAAAAAGTACTCCAAAGAAAGCTTGCCCAACACCTGGAACCAATCCCAGGTAGCTTGAGCAAATCGGTCAGAAAACCCCAGTGCAGAACCCGGCAGAGCTGGGCAAGCACTGCCTGCCCTTTTCTGTTCTTAGAACAAAGGAAAACTTGACAAACATGGCTACCATGTCCTTGCTTTTCCTCAGGAGGCCCACTTTCCTGCAGCCCAATTTCCCTTGGGCTCAGAGCAATTCTCTTTGTAGACCCGAGGACTGCCTTCTGTGCTGTAATACTTTATACCACTCTCCTGGAGATAATGGACAATGTGTGCTTTGGGGACCAGTGGGTCAGGAAACCTTCTGGTACAGGGGCATGAACAGGATCCTGCTAATTTACAAGGATGAATTTCTGGCACAAACTGCAGCCTGACAACACACAGTGCCCTGACCAGTCTTACCACCTGCACTTACTCATTGCCCTTACCTGCTTGATACTCCAAAATGAGGTGGAACTCATCCACTTCCTGCAGCGACTCTGGTGGAACAAATACATTGTCATCGAGAAGTTCATGTAGCTTAGGGCCAACGGGACCACAAAGAAGAACCTAAAGACAAACAATGTGAAACCAGTATAACAGGAGATCTGCTCTTTTCCCACAGAATCTGAATGGAAACAGAGAAGGTTCATTCAGGCCAATTTTATTCATTTCAACAAAATATTGGAAGCCAATCTCATTTCAAAAGTTCTCGGTTTGGAGGCATGGAACATAGGGCTTAGGCCTGTGGAGGGTATGGCCACAATGTACCTAAAAAGGAGAGGATGACAAGCCTCAAATCATTGCTGATGGGGACCTAAAAAATGCTGCAACTCATCTTCCTTGTTATGGATTGAATCTTTGTATCTACCCCCGCCCCCAAAAGTTCAGACACTGAAACCCTAGAGAGGGTCTTTAGAAGGTATTAAGATTAAATGAAGCCTAAGGTGCAGTCCTAATCAGATAGAACTGGTGACCTCACAAGGTACACACACAGCAACATATGCAGATCTCAGCCCCAACTTCTCCAGAGACTATGAGCAAATGCTGGTCTCAGGGGAGTACAAGGTCAACCTTGTACTCAAGGCACAACTTCCAGGGCACTGTCCTGTGGAGGACAGGTTTTAGGGACTCTGATGAGAAGGACCTAGACTCTCTCTAAAGAGTGTCCGATCCATCTTTTCTTTTCTTCTCCTACTAGCTGATTAAGGATGCCGACTGTAAAAATCTTTACCTATGCGACCCTCCTACCCACACTTGCTATATAGCTTGGGACGAAAAAAGTGCACCAACATGCTAGCTTATTGGTTCAGACAGGGTTTCGCCAACTGTTGACTGGGGCTGGACTCAAACTGTGATCCTCCTGATCTCTACCTCTCAAATAGCTGGAATTATGGCTATTCTGCCACCACACCAGACTTTTTTTTTGGCTTTTTGACACAAGGTCTCACTACGTATCTCAGACTAGCCTTGAACTTGTGATCTTTCTGCCTGCCTCTCAACCGATGGGATTATGGGTGTCCTCCACCATGCCTGGCTATAGCAATCACTTTTAAGTTCTACTTAGACCACATGGTTTAAGTCTGGAAGACACTCTTCAATTTACTTTCATCTCCCATTTTTCAACACTTGGGATCCAGGATCATCAACACAGCTCATCATCAGCTATATGGTCCCCAGTCTCAGGTGCTGACTCCAGAGCCCACATGCTCTAACTACCACACGATACGATTCATGGGAACATGTGTTCTAGGTCAGCATGCCTAGGCTGGCATCCTAGTTCCAGTAGTTATCAGTTGTGAACGTCTCTATGCCCAGGTTTCCTTGTGTAGAAAGCAAGGGCAATGAGTTTATCAGTATCTACTGGCCTGACAGGGATGCTGAAGTAAGTACATGTAAGCACTCAGGGAGTTCACATTCCCACTGCTTTGCTACTGATGCCACATCACTTTCTAACAGAAAGCCCAGGGACTAGCACACAGCAAGTGATCCATAAACTAAAGCAAGGAACAAATGTTTCTGAAGATGTTTCTGTTTTCTTGTTCTTGAAATTACTGAAACACTAATGAAAGACACAAGTTTTAATCTGGAATCTGACCTACCTTTAAATCTGAGTTGGCTGCAAATTTCTGTCCAATTAAAGCTGCATTTCCTCCCACATAGTGCTGTAAGACAGTTCAAAGCCATTAGACAGCATTGTAGCACAACTGTATTACCCAAGCTTAATCATTTTTAACATCAAAATTTATAGTTCATTTTTCCCCAAAAAACATTTTACACTAAAAGACATAGCTACGGCTAAAGACACAGCAACAAAGAGTAACAAGGAAGGGGGAAGAAAATAAATATGCTACCCATGAAAATTAGTATGACTGTCTTAGCTTAGAACAAATTGGCTCTGAGCTTCAAGGAGGCAAGAACAGATATAAACACGAAAGGTGGACTAGGCCTTACCTTCTACCTTCTAACCCTGCGAAGTGACTGCATGTTTATGGCACTCTTGCCTGAAAAATGATTCAGCAGATAGATTTTTTTTCAGTGCTGGAGGTTGGACCCAGCCTTATGCACACCAGGCAAGTATTCTAACACCGAGGTACATCCTCAGCCCTAAAATGTAACTCTTCAGTGAGGCTCTCTTTATCTGATCCATGCTTTCCTTTCCATCTCCTGCCCTTCCTTCCACACCAGCCTTCCTGTCTCTGTGCTTTTAGCAGTTTCCTTGATGAGGATGCCCATCTCTTCTCCTACACCAGGTAAAGCCCTGATCACTTAAGAGAATCTGCTGCACCATCACCTCTTGTCACAGTCTGTCTTCCCTCCCCACCAGCATTTAGGCCTCCACAGATGCCCTCCGAGTGGAACCGGAGACCACTTCCCAGTCCTCTGAGAAAGTCCCTAATATGGTCTCGTCTTACAGCCAACCTATCATCATCGAGGTGCACACTAGCTTGTTTAGGGCAGGGACTAGCTTCTCACAATAAGGGCTCATGTGTTTCCCAACTGATAGTTGGGAAATACAAAGGTAATGGCCCTAATGGTCCTAACAGGACCATATCTTCCTTTAAACACCAATCCTCTCAGCTGGAGAGAAGGTGACTCCAGGCTGGTGCAAGGTGCTGCTAAGGAGGGACCCAGAGGCCCTGGAAATCTGAGATCTGTGAAGGTGCTGTTCTATTCAGAAACTTGAGAAGCCTAATCAGCGGTTGTGCCACTATCCAAGTCCTGAACCCAGGCTAGACAGAGACCCAACAAGTGATTCTAGATGCTGGACGCCACTCTCATTCCATGGTTTTGGGTTAATCGATCTCTGAATTAAGGAGGGGCAGGAATAATTTTCTAGAGATAAACTCTAACTTTCTGTGATAGGGAGGCTCACATCTGGCCTTATAACATGTCAGTCTTAATGCTTTAGTTAACTATGATGGCGAGAGGAATTCTTAGGGGAAGTACTGACACTTACAAAATGGAGCCAGATTTTTCAGACGGTTATTAGCTGTCATTTGTCAGACAACCTTCTATACAACTTAAGAAAGGTTGAAAAGGCACCAAACTGAGCATTAGTAGAAGGTAAGAAATGCATTTTAGTTTTTACAATGTTAAAAAATACCTTGGACCACCAAAAAACCAACATAAAGTTTGTACAGAACTCTTTTTCATTACAAAGCACAAGGCAAGATCAAAGGAGAAAGGACGGAAGACAAAGCAAGTGGCGGTTTAAACACCACGACCACAAAGACTTCTGTGGTCATGTCGGAACCCGTGTGGCTGGGGGTGGGGCTCAAACAGTAAAACACCTGTTAGCAAGTGCAAGGCCTAAGTTCAAACCCCACTACTGCCCCCCGCCCCAAATAGATTCTCACATTAAGAGATGAGACTCACTACTGAGTTCAGCTGTCGTGATCATAACTAACATTTTAACAACTTTAACTTTCCTTTAGAAACTAATGCCTATGAGTGTTTCTAATGTTCAAATGGGCCACTTCAAAGGACAAAAACACTAATAAAAACTCACAAGTCAGCAAAATAAAAATGGTCACAAAGGTCTGTCTGTAAAAGGTTCCAATTAAAAAGCGTTAAGAGCTTCCCTGGCTAAAATTACAGACCCAGAATGGGGTGCCCAGCCAAAGGAGGGTCTTAGAAAAGGAGGTAAAACTGCTGGGGGCTGGAGTGGGAGGAAGACGCTCAACAACCAATCAAAGCCCAATGTCAAGAGGCAGGAGGGCAGGTACAGCAGCAGGCGCTTGAGGGTGAGATGGAAGAGCCAAGGCTGAATCTCCAACCCTGGCTGTCTTTACTGTATGAGCTTTCAGGATGTCATGCCTGGACCATAGCCTCTAAGGCTTTGTGATCACCTGGTGAATCACAGACAAAGTGAATTGTTCTGACAGTGTTCCACCCTACAGATCAATGGTTCTCAAAACAGGGTCCTCAGACCAACATCACCAACTGGGAAACTTGCTGAGATGGTAAATTCTTGTTTTCCAGCCACATGTATTGAATTGGAACAGTGAACAGGCTCAGGACTGTTTCAACAGTCCCTCCAAGAACTGCAATGCATGGCCAAGTCTGAGAACCATCAATCTAGGTCAATAGTTTTCAACCAGGGGTGATTTTGCTCCTCTCCTCCTCCCCACCCATGACACAGTGGACAATGTCTGGAGACATTCTGGTCATCACAGCTGGGGAAAGGGACAGTGTGCTTAGTGAGCAAGGGCCAGAGAGGCTGCTGAACATCCTACAACACAAAGGTCAGCCCTCCACCACCAAAGCATTATCCATCCCAAATGTCAGCAGTGCCTCTGCTGAGAAACCCTAACCAGCAAACAAAAGCAAGGCCCCACTTCTCCTTCCCATGTGAACACTACATCTAGCTCTCGATGGCTTTGGTCTTGCTCTCCTGCTCAGGGACCACTCAGCCATACTAAGATTACAACAAATTATTTTAAAAAAGTTTTACAGCCAGAACCAGTTAGGAGTAGACATGCTTCTTCCCTCCCTTTAGCTTGGATAACATGAAGGAAAAAAAAAATGGAGGAATTTAATGACGAACCAGAAACAAAATCTCAGTAAATACACTTGATTAATGTTGGCTCAACTGAACTGACTAGGAACAGCAGAATTAATAAACATCAACTTTACAAGGAAGGAAAACACTGTAGAACTGGATTTCCAACGGTCACCACCATCTTGGGGCCAAGTGGAGGAGAAAGGGGCTTCTTTTCCCACAATGTCAATGCACCGCTGGTGAAGCAGACAGACCTGGGCGTCTGGAAACTCTGATGCAGCATGGACAATGTCATGAAAGCTCTCCTTATCACTGAAGAAGCGCTCAGCAGCTGCTCCCTTCCCCATGAAGTGAACGAAGGCTTCTTCCAGATCATTCTTTGAATGCAGAATGGCGTGATCTCTCCCATTCCCAGGACTCAGGCCAAGTGCCTGTAAGAGCTTCACGCCCGAGAGCACCACATCGACACACGCATTGACTCTGGAAGGAGAGAGAGTGTGAAAGGAGTTGAGAAGCAGCCAGCCCAGAAGCACTGGGACAGTTCCTGCGCAGTTAGCCACAAGGAAAGGTTTTAGATGACCATGTTCAAACAGGAAACAGCTGAAGTAGATTTGACACCTCAGCTGGGAAGGAAACAGCACATGGCAGAGGGAAAACAACTTTATCTGGATGTATGTATTCAGATCAGAAGACAGGACCTGTTTCAAGAGTTTGGCAAATTTTCTGGGCCTGGTGGTACACACCTGTAATTCCAGCAGGAGGCTGAGGCAGGAGGATGGTGAGTGCGTGGCTAGCCTGGGCTAAACAGTGATTGTCTATCTCAAAAAACAAACCAAACTAATAAAAAAACAAAAGAAGAGTTTAGCAGACTTTCCTTCAGTTACAAAGTGAGAGCACATGTGCTTAGCGTGTAGCGAAAGTTACATGGGAACCAAAAGGCAGCACTGCTGAGAAAACGCCTACAAGTCAAACTGTCTGTAGTCACACAGGCTGTGTGACTTGACTAAGTTGCTTTAATTTCCAAGTCTGTTTTCCTCGTCTATAAAATGGCAATAATATGAGTCGCAAACTCAGAGCAATTCTGAAGGTTAAATAAACTAATGTACACTTAGGAACAGTACTTGGTGCAAAGAAGGCAGAACATCAACTTTAATTCAAAGCTAAACATCAGACACCTTCCGTCCAAAGGTAAGAGGATGGTGGTGAGACAGAGTAAACACTGGAGCACCCACACACTCCCAGCTGGAACCGATCTGGTGAGGCTTTAAGGGCTGAGTTCCACGTGTGGCACTTGGAAGGTACCAGAACTGATCCCTGAACTTAAAAGGGCTGGAGAAAAGACAGTGTTGCATCACCTGGTTGGCTCTATGAACATTGTAAAGCATTAAGGTTCCCAGCCTGGCATCTCCTACACGGAGATGAATGGCTTATATGTATTTTCACTGTTTCTGTGTCACAAGTCATCCTGCTTTTAAAGAGAAAGGATAACACAGTAACAAAAACAGGAGTACTGGCACAAAAACAAGCGTAGACCAATGGTACAGAATAGAAGACCCAAAAAGAAGCCTACGCAGGTATAGCCATCTGGTTCCTGACAAAGGTGCCAAAAACATACACTGGAAAAAGACAGTCTCTTTAACAAGTGGTGTGGGAAAAACTGGGTATCCACATGTAGAAGACTGAAACCAGATCCCTGTCTCTCACCATGTACGAAAATCAGCTCAAACTGCATCAAAGACCTTAATGTAAGACCCAAAACTTTGAAACTACCAGAGGAAAACACAGGGGAAATACTTCTTGATATAGGTATAGGCAATGACTTTTTGAATAGGACTCCAATAGCTCAGGAAATAGCAAGAAGGACAAATTTTAAAACTTTTGTTTTAAAATTTTGTTTACAGCAAAGTAAACAATTACCAGAGTGATGCGACAGCCTACAGGATAGGAAGAAAATCCTTGCCAGTTATTCATCTGATAGTTGATTAATATCCAGAATATGTTAAGAAACTAAAAAAAAAAAATACCAAAAGAATAACCCAATCAATAAACGAACTGAGCAGTAAATGAACAGTACTTCAAATGAAGAAGTACAAATGACCAATAAATACATTTAAAAAACATTCACCATCTTCAGCCATCAGAGAAATGCAAATCAAAACGACACTGAGCTCCCTGTATAGCTATCCTTATCTCAATTAGCAAAAACCCTTGGTCCTTCCTATTACTGCTTATACTCTCTCTTCAACAAAATTAGAGATAAGGGCAAAATAGGTTCTGCCAGTTATTGAGGGGTGGGGTGGAGAGGGAGGGGGCAGCGGGGGGGGGGTAATGTGGGAGTGGGGGGAGAAATGACCCAAACATTGTATGCACATACAAATAAAAAAATAATAAGAAGAAACAATGAAAACTATAAAATGTTGCTGAAAGAAATTATATTTGGCACAAATAAATGAAAAGTCAACTATTTAAAAAAAAAAAAAAAAAAAACGACACTGAGATTCTACCTTACTCCCGTCAGAATGGCTATCACGAAAACAAAAAACAGGCAGGGTGCTGTGGCACATGCCTGAAATCTCAGCACAAGGGAGAATGAGGTAAGAGGATCATTAAGTTCAACACCAGCCTGGGCTACACAGTAAGACCCTGCCTTAAAAGTCTTACACAAGAAAAATTTTTATTCCATAACTTTTACAGTTTTTATAAATTAAAAAAAAAAAATCACTGAACACCTATGTGCCAGATAACAAACTAGGCACTTTCATGTGTACTTGTTACCTAACAGTTAATCAGAGAAGACTTTTCCTCTGACTCCCCTCAACTCCATGACATCCCCAAACGCTCACATCCGCTAAGCTGCCTTGCTGTCAAGGGAAAGAGCAGGAGAGAAGGAGCTAACAAGACAAAATGTGACAAAGGCAAAACTGCAAACTACAGTTAAGAACTGTATAGAATTCTGTTGGTTCCTGAATAAACCTGCATTGCTGCTGAAGAAAGTTTATTTAAAAGATTAGTATGATTTTGGAGAAAACAGAGGCACTGGAAACCTTGGCCTTCTGGTCCACTAGCAGACTTGGGGGGTAAAGTGAACACAGTTCTCCCTTCCACACGGTAAGCTCCTCGGTGGCAGGAGTGATGCTTCTGACTACTTCCCTCCTGCCTCATTCTCTGTAAAATGTTTTCCAAGGTTCCTCTTAGCTTTCACATTTTGTGCACCAGAGAGCTAATTCTACCAATGAAAGATACAGAACTGTAGCAAAATCAGAGGGTGGGCAGCCATGCCTGGCTGAACGATGGATGGTTCATCACGAGGAAACACTACAGGTGAGGCAGACATTGTAGACAGATGACCCGAGCTGCAAAGCACTCACACACAGGTAGTCAACAATGTACTCAGCTAAGAAGTGAGGCTGTGGTTGTCTACTGTTCCAAAGGCTATATACTGAGGTTTATCTGATACTGAATTCCACCCAGGAAGCCCACACAAACTCAGCTCTGGGTGAAAGGACTGGCCTTGACTTTGGACACAGAATGCTGATTTAGCTAGAGTGGAGAATTTTTACAGGGGAGAAGAGCAGGATAGTTCAGGGTGAGGAGTTACAGGGAAAGAATGTCAGGATGAATCTTCAAGGAGCAATAGGTACCAGGATCCAATATGGAAGCAGGGGAGGAACTCACAGGTCCACAAAGATGTGATGCTGGGCTCCAACCTAAGTGCTGACATCTCCAGAAACTGCAGCCCTGCCTCCCACTCTGCTCTGAACTCTAGCAGCCGAGGGTGCAACTTCATCTGAAATTCAACAAGAATGTTCCTTTCCCTTCCTCTGAAATCCAGCTTAACTTCCTCCACAAACTTGTCCCCTTTTCTAAATCTCTTTTAATATGTCAACACGGTGGTATGAACATAAAACCAGAAATGGGAGACTAGGTTAAGTTGTACCTTTGGCACCTGATGGTTGTGTGATCCTGGACAAATCAGTGTTTCCAAGCTTGTTTATTCATCTGTGACAACGGATGAGCACATCTGTATCTGCCTACCTCATGAGGCTGCCTCTCAAATCTTATCTTGTACCACCACTGCCAAGCCAATGGTTCAGGCTATTCTCGCCCTATACCCACACCCTACAATGGCCTCTTTACCATCGTCAGGGTCTACAGACATTCCTCCCTAGGAATCACACTAAATTGTTTTGAGCCAGCCAAGTGAGGGGAGGGGTGGGGCAGGGCGAGGAATGACACTCCTGAGAAATCAAAACAACACAAACATGCGCAGAGGTTTGAACTCATGGATTCACACTTGGTAGGCAGTTGCTCTATCACTTGGGCCACACCTCCAGTCCCCATATCCTCAACTTTAATCTAAAAATCTCTTCGGATAATGAGAAATGTACTAACTGGTTAGTGATGCCCATGAAAACATGTACCAGGAAGTCAGGTTAGAACCATTGCTCAAAATATGCCCTACACATTCCTATGTTACCCTCAGCAAAGAGCTTACATCACTTCCTGCTTACAAACCTTTAGGGCTTCCCCACTGCTTACTGACATGAAGCCCGTCACAGTCAAGCCCTACTTGGGATCTTTTCACATTTCTTCACCCTAAGACTCTTGCCCAGAAACCACGCTCATTTTCACATTTGGTTCCCTTGCCTACATGGTGGTTCCCCCACCTTTGCTTGGAGAAGTCTTTCTTCTCCAGGGTCTGTCACACAAGTCACTGCAGAATGTATTTTGCACCAAAGTGGCACCAAGATGTCCCATCCCACATGTTCTTTGTACAATGCGACATTGATACTCCTCCCATCAAATTATGGTCTGTCCTGCCCCTTAAAGCCAGGTGGAACTGTGACTGGTAAAACTGACCCTGTGTACTTCTGAGGTTAAATCCTAAGCAACATTAAGCCCTCTGCCTGGTCCTCTTGGGACAATTCCTCTCCTAACACAGTCTTCCTGTGAGAGAAGCTAAACAGTTAGAGAGAAGCCTCATGTGGGTGGAAAATCCCAGTAGTGGTTCTAGCCACAATCAACATTACCGATGAATCCAGTCACAGCCACCTTCTGACACAACTGCTTTTCTGCCTCTGGTTAGAAATGCCCAGCTCAGCCCAAATCTCAGAATAACAAAAATCAAAAATAACTGCTGTTTTAAGCTAAGTTTGAGGGTGATTTACTACCTTGCAGAAGTAAACAGAACACTGTCTTCTCAGAGTTTTTTCTGATACCCCTCCTGGGAAGAATTAGTTATCCTTGTGTAGGACACCAGGACTACCCCTCTCTTACTACTAGTTCAACAAAGCACTCTGCACAACTGTTATGGACAATGGTATCTCTTACCCCACCAAATTCATGTATTAAAGCCCTAGTCCCCAGTGCAACTTTATTTGGACATCTGGACTCGGGGTCTTTAAGCACACAACTGAGGTTGTATGAGCCACACAAATGGGCCTTATCCAACAGGACTGGTGTCCACTTAAGAGGAAGAGAAAGCTGGGTCCCAGTGGCTCATGCCTGTAATCCTAGCTACTCAGGAGGAAAATATCAGAAGCATCATGGTTCAAAGCCAGCCCAGGCAAATAGTTTGGGAGAGCCTATCTTGAAAAACCCAACACTTGGTGGAGAGGCTCAAAAAACAGAGCACCTGCCAAGCCAAGAGTAAGGCCCTGAGTTCAAACCCCAGTACCATGGGCTCAAGCACTGTAGAGCACTTCCCTGAGTTCAACCACCCAGTACCAGCAAAACAAAAAAGGAAGAGAAAAAAAACACTAAAAAAAAAAAGAGGATGAGACTCCAGGAGAGTGCACACACACAGAAAGACCATGTGAGGACACAGTGAAAAGCTGGCCATCTGCAAGCTAGGAAGAAAAGCCTCAAGGCCTCAACCAGTACCAACCCTACCAGCACCTGGATTTTGGACAATAAATATAATCTTCAAAACCAATAGAAATTTTGTGTTTAAGCTATCTATCAGTCTTGGTATTCTGTTCTGACAGCCCAAGAAGATTAATACAACAATATCTTTTTCCAACAAATGAGGCCCTTATCTGTATCCTCAGAACCCGACACAGACCTGACATGAATCGTGCAGTGGGTGAGGATGTGTTGAATGAAATTAAGAAGCTGATAAGGAGGTGGGTGAAAGAGACTGCACTTGAAAAAGGCAAAAGGAGATTGCTTCTTACATGGATCAAAAATGTGCGAAAGGATTTTTTTAAAAGTACCATTTAACATTTGAGTGCTTTCAAAAGCCCATACTATATAGAGTAAATGGGTTACTTCACTTAGTCTTCAGGATAACTTGACTCTACCTTACGCCTCCTGGCCCCAACACTTACAAAATAGTATGAAACTTGACAGAAGGTGTGCTTTTTTATGATCTTTGAGGTGATGGGAAGAAAACTCAACTCAAACTAAGACAGGGACTAAAGCTCAGTGTAAAGGAAATAACGACATTCTTGTGAGGAGAAAAAGAAAGGCACTATGATTTGGGAAAATCATAAATATGCAATGTCACTGAAGTCAGGGAAGAAAGGTTTCAAAGCAGACAGCCGATAATGAAGTCTTTAGGGAAAAAAAAAGGCAGCTGAATTTGAAAATCAGAGTTGCCATACAGAGGTGGGCACCGCCAAGGAACGGGAACATAGGGCGCAAAGAAAGTCGGTAGGTAAAGTCAGGGCCGATCTTCAAGTTCAGAGACCAAGCACCTCCGACTGCCGCCGGAGCAGCGGGGCTGAAAGCGGGACCCCGGAGGCCGTAAGGGAAAGGAGGCAGGCTAAAAGGGGTCTGCAAGAGGCTAGTAGGGCTGGTCCCATAGAGAGGGGCGCAGGGGCTGGCCGAGTGGAAAAGCAGCCTCTGAGTCTCAGCAGAGGTGACAAGAGAGGCTCGATCTAGCGCCCGACACGCCCTGCCAGAGGGCGACGCGGCCGCGGGCACCTCCCGAGCCCTCTGGAAAGCCGCTTCAGCACGGGCTGTCCCTTCTGGCCGAGGTCCGCGCGACCTCCAGGGCGGACCTCGGAGACCCGGAGCCCCAGGTCCCACTGGCACTCACCCTACGGCCACGCGGCGCCAGCGCCGGGCGGGCTGCACGATAAGCGCGTCCCAAGCGGCCGCCAACCGGCCTTCGGGAGACACAGGTCCGGGGGGCACGGGCGCCGGCCCCAGCCGCAGCGAGCTCCAGAGCGAGCGCAGCGCCGAGCCCGGCAGCTCCGGCTCCAGTAGGAAGAGGCAGCCCACTGCCAGCGCCAAGAAGCCCGCGCACGCAGAGCCGCGCCACAGCGCCATGGGGACCGCAGCGCCGCACTGACCACGTCGGGCTCCTTCCCTGGCCCGCACTTCTTCCGGGCTCGGCGCGCGCTGACGTCAAACGCGCGTGCGTCACGCCGCGCGCGCCCCCCCGGGGGCGGGGCAGTGGGCGTGGCTACGTCGACGCAGGGGCGGGGAGCCGCTTGGTCCTCATCTTGGCGCTTGGCGGCCCCGCGCTTCGTGGAGGAGCGTGGACGAGGGGTGTTAGGCTGATCCCGGGCTCTGCACATCTTCCCAGAACTGCAGCTGTACCCCGAGATAGAGGGGCAGGAATACGTTTGCTTCCCCAGAAAAGTGAAACGGGCAGATTATGAAGAAGCAGATAAACCTCGCCTTAATTTTTTTTTTTTTTTTTTGCGGTACTGGAGTTTAAACTCAAGGCCTCTAGAATGGCTAGACAGGCGCACTAACACTTGAACTACCCTGCCAGCACATGTGTGTGTGTGTGTGTGTGTGTGTGTGTGTGATTTTCCTGATCCCTGCCTCCCGAGGGGCGTGAGGCAGTCGGTCTCCCCGTTTCCAGTCCATCCCTGTGTCCATCCATCCTCCAAGGTTTACTAAACCCATCTTCTTCCAGGCCCGGTGTTTGGGGCACTCCTCTCCCCCAGGAACCACTGCCCTTTGGGGGCACCCGAGACCCTCAGCCACTCCGCCTCAATTGCGACTGAACCGAGCCCGCGGACATGGTCCTCATCTGGACTACCAGATCCAACATTCAAACCCTAAAATAACCTCCTTGGGTTGCTGTTCCTTTTAACAGCCTTAGAAAGATGCACAGCTGCACGCAGTCTTGTGTACAGCACCGGGGCCTAGGGACCTGGGTTAAGAAGCCTGGTTTCTCTTGTTCCTCCTTGGTGACATCACTTAAACCCAGCCCTGGCTTCCCTGGTGTGACATTCTGCGTGGGAGTCTTAAGTTAAGAGACAGAGTGGCTAGGCTCAACTCCAGCTCATTCTCAGCAGCCACCATGCCCTTGTCTGGTCATGTTCCCTGGCCTGTTTCCATTTTTTCACTTTTGCTGGGCTCCTGACCTTGGCATTGTGTCTAGTTTTACACTCTGCCTCTGACCTCTGGACTTGGCAGTAAAACTTTATTTCTGTTGCTTTGATCATGGGTGTTAGTCTTCACTCTCTCAGCACTTTCCTATCCTGGTCACCTGTCTTTCCCTAGTTGGCCCTGCTCAGACCACCTGGCCGAGCCATCCCTTCCCAAGAAGAGGGTCACACAGGAAGAAATGTAGGCTGCTTTGAGACAGAAAAGCCAAGGAGCCCATCAGACCTGGGTAAAACCTTGAAAGCTGCCTTCCCTACAGTTGTCTGCCTCTTCTTTCTCCTAGGAGGGACATATCAATCAGTGCCCCCTTTCATGGGATTTCTGTTGTCAGGTTTCCTCACCACCAGAGACTCCAAAGCAGCAAATCCAGTGGCAGCTTTGAACTGAGTCAGGTTGATTGGTTTGGGTGTTCAATCCACAAAGTCACATGGGATGATGGAAGGTCAAATATTGCCCATTAAGTAAGTTCTCAAGATCAAGCTTGGGAGAAGCAGAGGCAGCTGAACTGTGGAAAAGCCATGAGCACACAAGCTTAAGGACAAGGAGAAAGCTACATACTAATGTGGTATGGAAAGAAAACTGCCTGAGATGTTCTTGATCCCATGAAATGCTACTACATTTGTAGCCCAGGATGGCTTCGAACTCCCAATCCTCCTGCCTCATCCTCCTGAGTGCTGGGATTACAAGTACATACCACCACTCCCAGCTTGCCAGAATTTTTGAATTAATCACAGAGAAAACAACAAAATAGGAGTTTGCTCATATAAAAGACCCAACGGGGTGCAAGCACCGTGTGAGCTATAGCAGCAAGCTGAGCCCCATCTGGTTGTTGTGGGGATGTCAGTGTAGGTTTGCTGGGGTAGGGAGAGGGACAGACAAGGAGCAGAGAGCTGAGTTCGGTTCCAGCTACAGGAAGTGCAGGAGAGAATAAAGAATAGCTGCAACAGTCAGTGGAGGCCAGTGTGGCTTCTGGCCACATACCCTTCACAACACCCTTAATTCTTTGTCCCTCCCTCTCAGGACTCAGTTCTGTTGGTGCCACAGTCTTTCTTGAAATATTTCCTTAATGAGAGTGTTTGGGGTCTGGAATGCTTTGCACGCCAATTGTCTTCCAAGAAGTTAGATTTCCAGGGGCAGTGACACAAAAACAGTCCAGAAGTGTGAGCAGCTTAGTCCTCCTTGCCTGGGCCGAACAAAGAGAAAAGGGCTGTGTGGGCCTCACGACCAACCCTTCCCCCCACCCAAATTGCTTCCAGACGTGGCCTTTGCTGTTGGTTCTCTCGCCTAGGATCTTAGAATGAGAGGGGGGGGGCGGAAAAAAGCAGTTTGGTTCCAGAAAATTCAGAGACCAGTGGAGGTTCCAGGTGTTCCCACCAAGACCCTGACCTGGAAGGCCAGAGAATAGAGTCCGTGTTTATACGGGAATTAGCAGAATCTTGTCAGGTCCCAAATTAGCTTAAGGCTTTGGCTTTACCATAAATACCAGTCAACACCACCCACGGCTGACCTAAACAGTTTCCAGGGACAAGTCTGTTCCCACATGGGAGCTGAAACTAAAGTGGACCAAGGAGTTCTTGGGAAAGCCACTTTTCCCTGCAGCTCTGGGCCTCTGGGGGTTTCATCTAAGCAGCTCTCTGAAGGCCACCCTGCATGAGGGCCTTTGCTGATGCCAGGAACACAGCCAATCACAGGTCACACCCAAAGACAAGAGACAGAGCACGGCTTTAAAGACTATAGAAAACTCTAAAGAGACAAGAGAAGAAAGAAAGGATCCCAAGACCCAAAAGAGAAAGCTGTGCCTGGCAGTTGATAGTCACCCTTCTCCCTATCCTGCCCTAGAAGGGCTGAGAGATGAATGGAAGCCAGGGTGGGCAAGAACCTGGGAGGGGAAGTTAAGGATAGTAACAGGATTTTCCACACAGATTGGGAGCAGGACCTTCTTAGGTCAGTGGCGGCGAAAATGCACTGGCCCCATTTCTCCATCAAGAGATTGACTGTGTTGGACTAGGAGGAAGAGCTGGGCCTGGGGACGTGACAGGAGCCTGGGAGCTTCGTAGGGCAAATGAGTGAGGGGCAGGATGGAGCACAGTGCTCCCTGTGAGTGGTGGGCTTCCACTGAAGTCCTTTGCTCTTTGTGGATGGTCTTCTACAGGTATAAACCACCCCTGTAGAGCACGGAATGTCTGTTGCAGGGATCTGGTTTGGGTGTCTGTAAGTACTTGCGTTAGTTTGAAAGGACATGAAAAGTTTGCCTTCCAACTTTACTTCTTTTTTGATTTAAGAACTCTAGCAGTTCTAGAACCACTTAAACTAAAATAAGGGGAAAAACAACAACAACAAAAAAAGGAGATGGGTGCCAGTGGCTCACACCTATAATCTTAGCTACTCAAGAAGACAGAGATTTAGGGAGTCACAGTTTGAAGCCAGCTGGGCAAAATAGTTCATGGGATCCTATCTCAAAAAGAACCTATCACAAAAAAAAGGGCTGGTGGAGTGGCTCAAGGTATAGGCCCTGAGTTCAAATCCCAGTACCACAATAAATAAATAAACAAAAATTTTTAAAAAATAAAAGGAAGCAAAACCACCCAGCTGGTATGGCATGGTGGCACTGAGAGCCCTGAGGGGGCCAGCCTTCTTTTGCTCTGCCATCCCTGGGGTGACGGCACAGTAACAACGAGGTTCTGAAAAAAAGGAGAGGTGAATGGTTTTGCAAACTACCAGTTTGTGGCTTTAATGGAAAAAAAGTGGATTTGAGCTATGGTTCACACCTGTAACTAGCATTCAGGAGGCTGAGGCAGGAAAATAGCGAGATAGAGGCCAGCATGGGCTACAAAGGTCAAGGCTGGCTTGAGCTGCATGGCGACACCAAGTCTCAAAAACAAACAAACAAAACAAAAACAAAAACAAAACAGTGGGTTTTGCACTCTGGAAAAAAATTTGGAGGCTACTTAAAAAGCTAGACATGATGCTACACTTGACCGAGCAATACCACTCTTGGGGATATACCAAAAGACTGTGACCAGGTTACTCCAGAGGCACCTGCACACCCATGTTTATTGCAGCACTATTCACAATAGCCAAGTTATGGAAACAGCCAAGATGCCCCACCACTGACGAATGGATTAAGAAAATGTGGTATCTATACACAATGGAATTTTATGCAGCCATGAAGAAGAACGAAATGTTATCATCATTCGCTGGTAAATGGATGGAATTGGAGAACATCATTCTGAGTGAGGTTAGCCTGGCCCAAAAGACCAAAAATCGTATGTTCTCCCTCATATGTGGACATTAGATCAAGGGCAAACACAAGGGGATGGACTTTGAGCACATGATAAAAGCGGAGCACACAAGGGAGGGTGAGATAGGTAAGACACCTAAAAAATTAGCTAGCATTTGTTGCCCTCAACGCAGAGAAACTAAAGCAGATACCTTAAAAGCAACTGAGGCCAATAGGAAAAGGGGAACAGGAACTAGAGAAAAGGTTAGATCAAAAAGAATTAACCTAGAAGGTAACACCCCACGCACAGGAAATCAATGTGAGTCAACTCCCTGTATAGCTATCCTTATCTCAACCAGCAAAACCCCTTGTTCCTTCCTATTATTGCTTATACTCTCTCTACAACAAAATTAGAATAAGGGCAAAATAGTTTCTCTGCTGGGATTGAGGGGGGGGAGCGGGAGGGGGGGGGAGTGGGTGGTAAGGGAGGGGGTGGGGGCAGGGGGGAGAAATGAACCAAGCCTTGTATGCACATATGAATAATAAAAGAAAAATGAAAATAAAATAAAATAAAATACTAAAAAAAAAAATAGTTTCTGCTGGGTATAGAGGGGTGGGGGAGAGGGAGGGGGTGGAGTGGGTGGTAAGGGAGGGGGTGGAGGCAGGGGGGAGAAATGACCCAAGCCTTGTATGCACATATGAATAATAAAAAAACAACAACAAAAAAAAACAGTGGGTTTT